TAAACACACTATAATCATAATACTTTTAAAATGTTAATCAAAATGGGTTTTGCCCTGGGCATACAATACTTAATAAATAAGTTCTTAAATTTTAGACATGGTAATGTTGAGGGTGCGTTATTTGAAAATAGTTCAGACGCAGGTAGTGTCTTTGAATTAGATATAGAGTAAGTTATATTTTAAATTTTACCAAACCTTCTAATATCGTTTTTATTTTGACTTGGGACATCTAGTTATCTCTGTTTTCGCATTTCTTTTTGTCGGCGAAAGGGTTAATTTGGAAATACGAAAACTAGGATATATCCACTACCCTGATAGGATATATCCACTACCCTGATAGCAAAATTTGATTTTAAGAATCTTCTAAGAAGATATGACACGGAATAATGGAATATTCTTAGAACCTTCCCTTATTGCTAAGAATGTTCTTAGGGACTTTTAAAACATTCATTTTAATGATGCAATTAGATTCTTAAAAGCTTCTTAAAACCTTCCTAAAAAGCATCCTAAGAACATATTTTTAAAAATGTTCTTAGAAGGTTTCTTATGGAGCTTCTAGGAAGCTTTTGAGAATATTTACAAATATGTCAGATACCCACGTTCTAATATGTTGTATTCTATATTCGTAAAATTCTTCAGGAGACGACAAATACGCCTCACTGTCATATTATGACAGTGAAATGTATTTGTCGTCCCCTTAAAAAATTTTGCGACATATTAATATATATTTATTTAAAAATATTAAATAAACAATTTGATCTCTAAACCATAAGTTGTATGACATTACTTCATAAAAAGTAAAATTGGAAAATTTTGTGGGATAAGTAAGATTCGATTGAAGTTGAAGATAGTTAGGATTATTATACATAAAAATGTTAATTCAGAAATAAAAAATCGGTATAAAAATTAATAAATATTTATTTTTAACAAAAAATAAAATACCTATAGTAAAAGTATTTTTGTTATCAAATATTGTTTTAATTTAACAAATAACTATAAAAAAATATTTTGGATTGTGTTTTTACTTAGTATTAAATACTAATTACTAATTAGGTACTTAAGTATATATACTATACTGCCCTACTATGGAGAAAGGCAGTAACTGCAAAAAAATGCAAAATGCGTTTTCTTGTGCTATGGTAAAGCTATGGACATTTTGTAACCGATTTCAACACAGAAATGCAGTCAATTATCTCATAAGTTAAAAAAATCAATTAAATATCTACTGCTTTTTATAAAAATGTAGTTTATGCGAATTTTCCACAAATTTCTTGTTTAGCAGTTACTGCCTTTCTCCATAGTAGGGCAGTATAGGTAACTGAACTAAATATGCTTAACAGGAATATTCCTAAATTAACTTTATATAGCAATTATTTTCCTAACATTCTAAGCATATGTTTAGAGTAGACTAATTTTTACCACTAAAACTTTGCACCTTCTAAGAACCTGCCTATAGGCCAGTAAGAATATTCTTAGGATCATGCTATATGTCTTTTAAGCATGTTCTTTAGAAGAAATATATATATATATATCCTTAGAATATTCTCACTGGAAGGTTTAAAAAACATTCTTAGAATAAAGTGTGCTATCAGGGAACAAGGTATCTACAAAATATAGTGAATACGCGGTATAAGTATGTGGATATATCACAGTAGCCAAAATGTACCAGGTCAAATGTCAATTGCTATTTTTTAACCTAATAATAATTTTTTCAGAGACATCGATGATAGTGATCAAAGTGGGGATAATGAGGAAAAATCTGATGATGATGATGACGAAGTCAAAAAAGCTCATTTCAGTCAAAAGTAATCAAATCAACGACAAAAAAATTAATAATAAAACTAATGTCTTTTTTTTCAGACCCACCGATTCCGCATTATTAGGAGTGTTGCCAATGATATTTCTAAAAGAGCCTGATATGGATTAAAGTGTATATTCCAAAATTTAAAAATTAGAAAATACAAAAAAAATAGAACAAAAAAACATGTTTGTGCAATAGTACATATATTTTAACTATAAGTTTCTAAAAATTGTTTGTCATTTTAAATCTCCCTATTATTTTAAATTTCTACTAAAAGAATTTTTATGGATGTGGTTATTTTTAAGACGTTAACATTAACATTAAATCATCGATTTAAAATTTCCTAGGTATTTAATTTAAAAAATGATTGCTTCTAAATTTAAAAAAATCATAACTTAACAGTGTTTCCCAAAAAATATTTGAAGGTTTAGCGCCTGTTCTTATTTTAAACTTCATCACACTGTATATTATATGATTAATTAATCTACTCCAGGGACCTGACATTTTTCCTATTATTAATGTGTAGGATAAAAAATTATTTTTATTATTTAAGTAAAGAACAATGTGTTTTAAAAGAAATTTGTAATTCTCAATAGTTCTTGTATGTTACATTTTTGTAGATGATTTTTAAAAGGTAAATCTCTAGCCCCGACTACTAAATTTTGATTAAAACACATTGTATTACATGTAGGAAGTTTAAAAGTTTCTTAACAAAATTAGACTATTTTTGTAAGACTGTTTTCGTAAATAAACATTTAATTAAATATTTTTACTTAGCTGTTACCACCTACCAACTAAAATTATATATCATATATCCAGATATACAGATATATACGAGGTGTGTTCAGAAAATAACGGGAATTGTTAAATTTCGCGGTTTCAGAAGGTCCGGTTGTCATAAAATTTTCTTTATTATGTTGGTATACATGCCCCCGAAGTATGATAAAAACTTTAGCTGTTTTCATTGTTTACTTTGTCTGTGGCAGCCGCTAAGGTTAGACATGTTTTATGAGCTCGGCGATTTTCGTTTGTTAAAAGAAATGGATCAAAGAATTTGTATCCAATTTTGCTTAAAAAATGAAATAAATTCTGTAAAATGTTAACAAAGGCCTATAGTGAGTCTGCTATAAGTAAAACAAGAGTTTCCAAGATGGCCGTGAAGACGTTGAAGATGACGAACGCCCCGAACGCACAAGCACATTAACAACCGATAAAAACATGGAAAAAGTGGAAGAAATGGTTAAAACCATCAGAGAAGTCGCTGATGATGTTGGTATATCGATTGGCTCTTCCCATGAAATTTTTTCGAATGTTTTGGGTTTGAAACGCGTGGCAGCAAAATTTGTTCTAAAATTGTTAAATTTTGAACAAAATTTTTGGCCAAAAACAATACTGTAATGATGCCCCAGCCTCCATATTCGCCCGACATGCCTCTGTCTGACTTTTATCTATTCCCAAAAATAAAGAGAAAGTTAAAGGGCCGTCGTTTTGCAAGCATAGATGACATTAAAAGCGCATCGCTGAAAGAACTAAAGGCTATCCCAAAGATCGAGTTTTATAAGTGTTTCGAGTATTGAAAGAAGAGCTGGCACATGTGCATAATATAATATTTTGAAGGCGACAACATTAATGTAGACGAATAAATAAATATTTGTTTCAAAAAACGAAAATTCCCGATATTTTTTGAACACACCTCGTAACTCTCTACCTTAAAGTATGGTTTAGATAATTAAGGGTATCTTTGAACATGTAAGGTGGAAATAACCAGACCTTAAATTTTTATTCCATTAAAAAATTAATAGATTTAAAAAACACGTGTAATGATATTTGAAACTACCAAAAAAGTAAATTGTCAAAAATCACGTTTGGTAATAAATTTAAATTGGCGAAAAAATATTTTTCGATAATTTTTAATATAAATATACAGAATTTTTTTTTAAAAAGCATCATTAAAATGAAGCTCTCTAACCAAGTAAGTAAAATGTAAATATTGTATTATGTATATCTGGTGCTCAAATATTTTGTAAAAATAATATTAACTGGTTTTAGTCCAAAATGGATGAAATTTTAATTATTTTTAGTTCCAACTTTTAGGTTTCAACTATTTTGTACTATAACTAAAAATTATTAAAAAAATATATATATATTTCAACTTTCTTTATTAATCTAACAATATTTTAGCCCATTTCCGTTTTTGCCATATTTTTGGTAGGAATTATATTCTCAACACATGCCACCCCTATAGATTTGGGGGGGGTCAATGCTACAAATGTCAGTCCAGATACTACCAATGTAGCTGGAGCGGGTCCATTAGGAGAAGCTAACGTAACTAGTAGTGCAGCTAAAAATGCAGCTTCTAACAATTTTTTGGGAGGATTCTTAAAAAGAGCTCAAGCAAGTACCGCAGAAGTAATTCCGTTAAAAGGGGGTTTGTTTGGGGAAACCGATAATGCAAGTTCAACAAATGAAAAATCAAATTGCAACTGTATTCTTATGTTCTGCATTTGTCCATAGTAAAAAGTATTAAATAATAAGCAATACGATTTTAATGTTTTTTTTTGTAATAAACCTGTGATTTAAAAGTATAAACGCTAAAGTGTGCACAATTTTAAGGGGTGATTGAATTATATAAACAAAAAATTGTTTTTTGAGATACACCTTTTCTGAAAAAAATAAATTTTATATAGTTAACCAATTAGTTTTAGGGAGATTTTTACTTAAATAAATAAAATAAATAAAATAAATAAAATAAATAAAATAAATAAAATAAATAAAATAAATAAAATAAATAAAATAAATAAAATAAATAAAATAAATAAAATAACTAAAATAAATAAAATAAATAAAATAAATAAAATAAATAAAATAAATAAAATAAATAAAATAAATAAAATAAATAAAATAAATAAAATAAATAGAATAAATAGAATAAATAAATGAAATAAATAAAAAAAATAAAATAAATGAAATAAATAAAATAAACAATATAAATAAATTAATAAAATAAATAAAGTAAATAAAATATAAAATTTAAATAAAATGTCAAATTAAATTTAAAGCTTATTTATGTCATTTATGATTCACATTATAAAAATGATTTTCGTAACAGGCCGTATAAATTTGTTAAAAATACTTATTGGACATAATTTAAAAATGCAGAGTAATCAATTGCAAGTGGTTTTAGTCAGTGATATTTTTTATTGTGAATATATAGCATTTAAATATATTTTTTATAACCAATATAATGAAATATTTCATATTTTTTTTCTGCGTTTGGCAAATATATGGTCTTTACGATAATGGTAAGAAATATATTTTTTTTAAGCGTATAACAATTTTCATAAGCATATATAGAAAGACTTTATTATTATACACCGCCGTACAATAATGAAAATTCAAGTATAGTTTATGTACATAACTGCCTTGCTCAGATCTGCAGTATCGGCTGTTATATAATGTAGTATTTTTAAACATGTTGTTTGTTTGGATTGTACTGCAGTACAATCCACTTATTTTTTAAATTTCAGATTTTGATATAGATTGTAAAGGAAAAACTTTCGAAAATGTCACAATGACAGCTTACTACCCTGATTATAGTGGAGATAGCGAGTCTGGTTTTTTGGATAAAAAAGGAAGGAAACTTAGAACTCTTCAGGTAAAATAAAAGCATTCAGGGTGTTATGTAATTAATGTTATATATTAAAATACTGAATACCTTTTGACATAAGGAATAAAGGAAAAATATTTTAAAAAGCATTTTTCCAAAGATAAAGAAAAAATATGCATTAGAAGTTTTTTATATTTTTTGTGATACGCCACTGGTTACACACTTGTTTATCTCTGCACACCTGTATTTTGTGAGTACATAGATACCAACCAACAAAGTAGCTATGCGTTGCCAGATGTAAAAAATTGTTACTAAAAATTTTTCTTGCAAAAAATAAATAAAAACTCAATGAATACAAAAGTTTTATCCCTTAAAGCTCTAATACCCTTCTGTATTTATTTACTGATCCAGCTATTAGCTTAAGCAATGATTAGAAAATTTAGTACCTTTGAAATTTGAAATCCATAACCACAAAATTAATTTTTTCATCAGTTTTTTTCTCTGTTTACTCAGATGAAATTGGGACCAGTTCACAGGTTAAACTTTAAACATTTAATTTGTGTAAATAAATCCAAAAGCACTTCCCTTGGTTAAGATATTTACAATTTGAAAACATAACCTAAAATTTAAAAGAAATGCACTAGATTCTGTCATAAAAGTTGGCAGATTGTGTTTGAATTTACCATCAGTACAAAAATGAAATAACCAACAATTAATAAAAACGCCAAATTGACAATTTGCATTGTTAATTTTGTCATTTTTGTAATTAAGCTAAATTTAAACAATGTTTGTCAACTTTTTTGAGAGATTTTGGAAAAACTGTTGTTACCAACCATAACAAAATAAATCCACCAGATTAACCTAAAGTTCCTAGTCGATCAGTGGCGTACTTTTTGGTGGGATAAAGGTTATTATAAATTATTTTTAGACTTTGGAATTTAGAAAAAAAAAGTTTCAGGTGCTTCTTTATGGACCCTAAGGAACAACCCATTTTAATATATAACATTAATTACATAACACCCTATATATTCTTTCTTGCAATTTGCGACCTTACTTTTTATAGAATATGATTTCTATAGATATCAATAAACCAATAAGAGCACGACGTTTTCCACCGCACACTATACATGTACCTACAATATTTATTATACTTGGTTTTTTGCTTTCTATAGAAATCATGTTTTATGGAAAGTAAATATCTCCCTAGCGCAAGTTTATATGTATATATAAATATATCACACAAAAACATTTTTTAGGATTATCTCGACGATAGGACAGGCTATGTTACCCTTGCCATGGACGATGACCTTGGTCTGCCATACGGAAGCGACGTATGCATTCCGGAAATAAACAAACACTACGGTCATAGGGTGAGATTTCAAATTAGAGATTCCTCTCTGGATTTAAAAGGATCCGGATACGAACGGGTGGATATCTGCGTCAGATCGGAAATGGATAGCTATGACGTTAGCGTAAACAGAAAAGTTACTGTTGTTTTTGTTCAAAATAAATAAATATTTGAATTTATTTAAAATGTTGTGGGAATATAATTTAACTATTCAATGTTGTTATTTTAATTTAATCCTTTCTTTATTAATTTAGTGGTTTTAATAGTTCAAGAAGTTTGTCCAAATCACATTGAATAATGAAATCGGCCAATCATTGACGCCCAACAACCAAGTAATTAGGTACAAGTTTTTATCTGTTTACTGCTGATTTTTATTTGTCTATGTCATAATCAATCACTTCAGTGTCGAATTTTAACGACAGATAAACAGTTTTTATGAGATTTTGAAGAATAGCATAATGAAAATCTACCGCACTTTTTTTTCATGAAAAACAACAGTTACTGATATCACTTACCTGCTACAACAATTGTTGCTCATTGCCCAGTAGCTTAAATTTCACTACCATTAAATTGTCCACCGAAACAACAATAAAGAGATAATAATTGGGAGAAAACTCGCTTTTCACACGCACAACACTAAAAACACTAACAATTTGATTTTTAATGATGGCTGCCAAATTGACAAAACACGATCGCAGCCGCATAACTTGCTAAATATTTTAATTTTTCGTTTAAAGTCTTTACAAAGTAATATATAATTAACTATAAAGTATTACACAAATTTTTGAAACACAATTTCAAGATAAAGCATGCTTAAAAGCCGTATTAATTATATTTATGTTATTTTAAAAAAACAATCGCCGTGTGCGCAAGTCAACGCGCATGCGCAACATGTCTGTCATGTTTTAAAAACAAATGTTTGACAAATTAACAGTGTTTTTGTGATAGATGTGAGTGATGAAATAATTGTTATTTTGTGCCTATTTTTGACGGTTTTGGACTAAAGGTATATATATCTAAATTGACACATTTACATCTTTTTTAATTGGGATTTTTATTGTAGGTAGGTTTAGTACAGTGGAAGAGACGAAATTTTGAACGACATAATTTGGTTGTCCATGTATAAATCTGTAATTAGCTAGGATACAATATTGAGCATTTTTGCTTTCTCTGTCAAAATGACAAGACCGGATAACCAGAAGTAAGGTTAGTTGTCCATAGAGGAAGTTTAGATTTTGATGTCAACGAAATGATTCGTTCAAAATTTCGCTATTGTACAAGCTAATTAATTATTATTATTAATATTTAAAAATATAAATTATAATTAGTAGTAGGTAAGTGCATTTTATCTACTCCCACATTGACAAGCTGTGGCGTTTTAGTCACGGGCTGAAGTTAGCTTTATTTTAAATTGCGAAAATGTGAGGTTAATTTCTTCAGATGTCAAATATTTATGAATTAAAATTGGCATGAAATTCTTATTTCTGTTCGTTGTAGATAGAGTATAGTATGCAACTCGTTTTATAAACTTTTCAAGACACTTGTTTTTATTAAACACTCGCTCGCAAGCTTCGCTAATGCTTAATAAAACTTGTAACTAAAATGGCGTTTATAAAACTTGATAATAATATACTATTTTTTTCTACCACCTATAAAACACACATTATATGTTAAGTACTCTTTAAATTGGCAAATTAACGTTTTAGCTAGTCAAGGGCTGAAGTTAGCAACAGTGGCTTTCAGGCTTTTTAGTCACCTGCTGAAGTTAGTTGACAATTGTCATACAATCGTCAAAATAAAGCGACTTTAATGATCTTTGAAAGGTTAGAATCGTCTAACTTTTGTGTTGGCAATTTGTTTTAAAAAACTTTTCGTGACTAAAACTTGTTGTACCTATAATAGTAGTAAAACCAGAAAAAATTATAAATAAATTTATTACACAAAGCTTTTGATAAAATATATATAACGATATAACGATATAAGCATAAAGATTTAGAGCATATTATATGAAACTATTAAATAAAAAAATATAAGTACACATTCTTTATAACATTGGGAGATATACGGGGGCAAGATATTTACGTAGTTGTATAAATAAATAATAAGGGTTAAATTGGCAAAAATAATCATTTAAAACTATCTGTGTATGTGGATTGTAACTTTTCCGTCTGGTAATTTTTTCATTAGATTCCATGCCTCTATTCTAGAACAGGTTTTAAAGCTCTTTTCGTTTATTGCAATTATTTCATCACCCACGTGAAGGTCGCCGCCTTTTTCAGCTGCACCCCCTTAAAAACAAGAAAAACAATTAATTTTGATTGTGGTGTACCCCAAGGGTCTGCGATAAGCTCCCATTCATCACTTTTTAATAAGAGTCAAAATCTAATATAATATCAAATATTGATTGATACTATATATATATATATATATTTACCTTGGAAGATTTTTTTAACTAACAATGGCACATCACCTAGTGGGGAGTCTTTTCCCCCCTCTATGCTAAATCCAAGTCCAGCCCCGCCATCTTTGTTTAAAGTAATTATATTTGTCGCTGATTTTTGAGAGGTTTCTACTGGAGGGCCTAAAATGAAATTTGTTTATAAAAATTTTGCCCTGTATTTTTACGTTCTTACTTTTGAGATCTGGACTTTTCAGGGCAGATGAAAGTCTTCTAGATGGGCTGGGAGCTGGTGCTATATCACGTTCTTCTATCACAATAGTAAATTCGTTTAATGGTTCCTAAAAATATACATAAATATATCCCTTATAAATATAGAGTTTAAAATAAACTTTATTAAATCCAATATGCTCCATTTTGATAGATTTTTCATTGGTAAAGAAACTTCTATGGTTTTAGACTAAAAACTGAACCAAATGATTTTCACAGTTGTCTTCCCTGATAGCACACTTTATTCTAAAAATGTTTTTTAAACCTTCCAGTGAGTATATTCGAATTCGATCTTAGGATCATGATTCTAAGAATATTCTTACTGGCCTATAGGCAGGTTCTTAGAAGGTGCAAAGTTTTAGTGGTAAAAATTAGTCTACTCTAAACATATGCTTAGAATGTTAAGAAAGTAATTGCTTCAGCAAGTTCATTTAGGAATATTCCTGTTAAGCATATTTAGTTCAGTTACCTATATAAAATATACCATACCATAAACTACGTATAAAGGTATACTTAAGTACCTAATTAGTAATTAGTATTAAATACTAAGTAAAAAACACAATCCAAAATATTTTTTTATAGTTATTTGTTAAATTAAAACAATATTCCATAACAAAAATACTTTTACTATAGGTATTGTATTTTATGTTAAAAATAAATATTTATTAATTTGTATACCGATTTTTATTTCTGAATTAATATTTTATGTATAATAATCCTAACTATCTTCAACTTCAATCTAATCTGACTTATCCCACAAAATTTTCCAATTTTACTTTTTATGAAATAATGTCATACAACTTATGGTTTAGAGGTCAAATTGTATATTTAATATTTTTAAATAAATATATATTAATATGTCGCAAATTTTTTTAAGGGGACGACAAATACATTTTACTGTCATATTATGACAGTGAGGCGTATTTGTCGTCTCCTGAAGAATTTTACGAATGTAGAATACAACATATTAGAACGTGGGTATCTGACATATTTGGGAATATTCTCAAAAGCTTCCTAGAAGCTCCATAAGAAACCTTCTAAGAACATTACAAAAACGTATTCTTAAAATGTTCTTGGGATGCTTTTTAAGAAGGTTTTAAGAAGCTTTTAAGAATCTAATTGCATCATTAAAGGGGATGAATACCGTGAAGGTATTAAAACATTTCAATAGAGCTCTTTCAATTTTTTAGGCGAACAAGAGGAAATTGGTCTATTAAATTTTCAATGTTAAATTATAAGAACAAATATTACTATTTTTAAAATGAGTAACTCAGTGTGTAACCTACTGTCATTTATTGGCTAAAACTTTTTCGTCTTCCTAATATTTTAAAATTATATTATTTATACCTTTAAAATTTCCTGTGCGTTTTCATAGGTAAGTCCTTTAGTATTTCTTCCATTAATGGAAATAATTTTGTCTCCTCTTTTTAAACGGCCGTCTTGATAAGCTGCACTACCATAACGTATCCTTTGAATCTAAAATATGAAAAATAAACTATTAATTAATATTTGCATTATTAATTAAAAAAATATTATTTACCGTTATATCTTTATTCTCTCCATTTAAAGAAACGCCTAGGTTCACCCCTTCATCCAACTTCAAAATAACAGTCTTAAATTTACCCTCAACATCAATTGGGGTTGGTTTCTTCGGACTTTCCTTTTCTTTCTTGACTTCTTTAGCGACATTTTTTCGCACCTCATTCTCTTCGATTTTTTGCTGCGTTATTTTGTTTTCGGTTTTTTCAATCTCCGATTTAACCTGCCTGGCATTATTCGTTTTAATGACGTTAGTTTTAACTGGCGCAGTCGATGTCAAGTTTTCGAAGTTCTTTTTTAAAGCGTTCACACTGAGCGGCTGAGGTTTTTTCAAAATACTGCTGGATCTTGTGTAGTCAACTTTGACGTTTTCTTTTGGTTTTTCTTGCGGTCTTGGGGTTGGCCTGACAAGTTGTCTGGGTGCTGTTTTTGGTAAGGCAGGTTTTTCTATTACAACTGCAAAACAAAATGTTTTAATTTATTTCTAGATATACCTGTTTTAATTGCATTTATTTTAAATATGACTCATGTCGTTGTTTAAATTTTAGCAATTTAAATTTTAAGATAACCCTGGCTTTTATTGTCGCAAAGTTATTTTGTTATTTTCATGTTTGATTTTAAACTTAAATTACCACTGTCTTTTAATAAATGCGGAAATATGAGTTTTGTGTTTAATTATTAAGCTTAAAAACATGTTAAATCAAGTAAATACTTCAAATACGGTGGGGTAACTCAAGGTCCTGTTTTGGACACAGGATTTAAAATCTGAAGCGATCTTTAAAAACTGTTAACTCACCATTTACTGAGGCACTTTCAATTTTGGGCTCAGAATTCCCGTTCATGACGGGAACATTGCTAATCACAAGTTTGATAACTTCTTCTTCCTTTTTGCCATCAACTTCACTTATACATTGGAGTTCGCTTTCAACTTCTTCGTCATGTTTTCTTTGAATAACTGGAGAGCCGACTTTCAAATCTCTGCCGCTTCGACATTTGGCCGAAGCAAGGATATTTTTTCTGTTTATTGCTTCGACGCTCGACGGTTTGAGCAGACGGTTGTTAAAATCTTCGGATTTGTCGTAATCGTTGCAAGTGGGGGAGGCTGGTGGAGAGCACCGGTAACTAGACTGACTGCTGCTGACCGCCGAATCGTTGTCGCTTTCGTCGTCTTTGCTCGACTCTTTTTTGAGCGCGTCTTTTTTGGCGCTACTCACGTAATCGAAACTGTAATCCGACCTGGTGGGGGATGTAATGCTCTCCAATGATTTTGGAGGGTCGGACAGGCTTTCATCCACTTCCAACTTGCTGGGTTTGCTTTTTTCCTTTGTGGTGTAAACTTGCAAGCTTTTTCTCTTAAACGCAGGCGAATATTTCGGGAAAGTGCTGGTCTGACAAGCCCACGGTGGTGAGGTTAGACTTGGTTTGGTAAACTCGCTAACTTGATTAACTTCGGGCACTCTAAAGTCATCTTGTTTAACCGGAATTACATTAGTAACGCTTTTGATTTCAGGCAAGTTAACACTTGGTGCTACTTCCTCGTTAACGTTCTCAGGTATCACTAGGCCTTTCAGTTTCGATAATCCTTTACGTCTATGCTCAATCATCATACTGAACTTATCGTTCTTCTCTTTAGAAAAAGTCGACATGTCGATCAAGCTTTGGGATCTAGTGTGCAACTTGGCAGGCTCATTGCTGGTAAACTTGATATCGTCAGTCGAAAAAATTATATCTCCATTGTTATTCGATTTGGCAAAGTTTAAGGAACATTCGGTTAGGTTGATGTTTTCAATTGATTTGTATACTTTGTTGGTCGGTTTTGGGAAGGATGCCATGGTTTTTTGCTGCTGGAATTCTACGTAGTCTGGAAACTCGTGTCCATCTGGTGGCTGCCGCGAGTCACTGGGAGGAGTATCCATATTTCCATCTATATCTGAAAAAAAAAATTTTGTATTACAATAAATAATATTTATTATGTTTTTTATAACGCTGTGTTCAGTCCCGATTGACGTCATAACTTTAAGATTTGTTATGTTACAACCCAACCCAACCCTACCCAACACAACCCAACACTTTTTAACAAATTTATAAAATTAAAAAAGTTTGGCAACTTCTAGTAGAATCGAACCCGGTACCTCTCGCATGCCAAGCGACCGCCCTACCATCTGAGCCATCCAGCTTAACATTAATTTTATAACGTTCGGGAAATAAAAACGGATTTACAGTGTGGGGGATTGAAGTTAAGTCTTGCCTCGGGACGGGAGCCACATCGTTTTTATAATGTTGCCTTAGACCAAAGAAACGTTTGTTAGTTGAATGTCTACCAGTTGGTCTAAGGTAACACAATAAAAACCATGAAATTTGCAAAATATATACAAGAAACATGATTGCAAAAAAGGTGTTAAATAATTTATATATATAATAGAGTTCCAATTAAAATTATTATTATATTAGATAATATAAATAAATTAAAAGTTTCTCCTGAGCAACTGCATTTCAAAAGCATTAAAGAATTTTAAATTTATTTCACAAGGTGTCTTCCATTGTAGAAAAACAATAAAAATATGAGTTGAGGTTTAGTTAAAAATAGATTCAATTTTTATAAATAAAGTATATAGAAATAATTACTCACATGTTAGTAGTTAAATATACATAGGTATCATGGATATTTTAAAGTGTGTTTTTTATTACTAATAATGACAAATCGATATGTTTGTTTATCAGTCATCAATTTTAAGGATGTATTAGTTTTTGGCGTAGGTACATTTTATAATTTCATTTATTTGCAGATTAAGATAGGTTTAAACAATAAAATCAATATAATTCGAATTTTTCCGCTAAAAATATAAACATTTCAAATTTAAATGCGAAATTTATTGAAAATTTTTGATAATGTAGATAAATTATTCAAATTTGTCAATGATAAAGATATTTTGACATCTTTTAACGCATAAAATTTGCGTAATTTTTGTAAACAATAAAATTTTGAAATTTAACAGGCTGCCTGTAAATCCCCAAATTTTCTAGAACATAGTAGGCTTAGCCTAAACCTTCTGCTCAATCAAAAAGCCGATATGTTTGGTCGGAGGTAAAATTTTTGGCACTACCAATTGTATTTACTTAATTTATAATTAATATTCTTTATATATCATCTTGCCTCCCTCACTGGCTTTAATACCAAGCCCATGACCTTGAAATACAAAATTATTAACCTTGAAATAAAACCTTTTACACCCTGATAAAATAGTTTAGACCTTTACGATATAAGATGTTTAAGATATATCTCCCAAAAGGATTGCATCTATTAAACACCCTGTATATTAAATAATATCAAAAAATAATAAGGCCAGTAATTCATAAATGTTATTGCTCAGTGGGACATATTTATAATTCAAAGTTCAAGTAAAGTCGTTATAAATAAAAGCATTGAATATACAAAAGTGTAGGCGATACCAGTTTTAAAACAAATTAGGTAATAAAATATTATTTTCAAGGTACTTATTAAAAAGGATCTATTACTTTTACCGACATTTAATAATGCATAACATAGATCAACAGAATTTTGGATACAAAAAAAAGTTATTTATTTACAAATTGAAATGAAAAAAAAATGTTTTAACCAGGAAACTATAAATTGTTAAAAAGTGAAAATTAAACTGGCTATAATAATTAAGTAAGTCAGTAAGTTATTTCAAAACCATATTGTTACTGTGTATTTATTAAATAAAATGTTAGCAACATTGTTTTAAAGCAGTTGAATCTCATTACAATTATGAATGAACTAATAACGAATAATTAATAAAGACTAGTTTTTCAAGATGTTTCGAATAAAGATATAACTGAAAATATTTGATTTATATTGTATTTTATTAATAAATTAAACGTTAAAAAAGACAAACTGTAAATGTTAATAAAAATTTTTTCCCTGAATTGTCACGCGTTTTTGATTTTTATAATAATAATTCATAAAATATAAAATCGGTTATTTTAATGGAATTTTAGAACGTTATGTTTTATTTTTAAGTTAAGGTCTAAATTTTAATAATTTGTTTAGTAAAAGTTGTATTAAGGTATTGTATATTCTGAACAAGTCGAATTAGAAAAAAAATAGGTATACGGAATTTAAAGACCATTGAAAAATAGGAACTAACAAAAAAAATAAAATTATTTTTCATGTTTCCATGAATAAATTTTTAATTTTTAAATATTTATATGATAAGATTGTAAAATAAATGTTTTTTTGTTACTAAAAACAAAACAACTTAAGTCAATGTTAACAAAGGTAGAAGGACATAGCGAAGGTATATTTTTGAATGAAAACCCTCGCAAAACTCACCGTTAAACCAGCACGAAAGTTAATCCAATAAAGAAAACTAAATAAACTGAGAAAAAAACGAAAAAGTTTTGCGATATTCCAACAAATCACATTGTGTGTGTGCTATTGCATTGGGTGTCTACGGCGGTCAACGCGTACAAGTCGAGAGCTCGATTAAAACTAAATGGCAAGCGACGTTAGCGAAACTTTAGCGCTGTGTTACGCTATGAAAAATTCGTGCCCAGTCCAACCAAAAAAAATAAATGGTATACTGTGTAAAAACACCGGGCATAGCTATTGTTCCAAACGATTTGTTTGAGGAATGCATTAAATTTACCGTATAAATATTAATATAAAAAATATTGATAATGGTTGTTTTTCGCTTAAATTGGTAATGTACCTTCAATACGTATGGTTTTTGAGGTCTTACAAACTGTAATTTCATGTCGGGATCAAATTCTTTTTTTACTTAAATAATAAATTTAAAACTTTTTAAGGGTATCTAGGTACTAAAAATTACTTTGACCAGTACTGCGTTATTTAATTGTCAACATTTTCTCTTAGTACTGTTGGAAGGCAATATTTTTTAGTCTTAGTTTTTAAATAGTTATGTACAGAGAACATCGGTTATAACGAGCTGTTTGGTTGTACAAATCCATTCTTTTAGACTTTTGACCTTAAAAATTCAAAAATATTTTTTGGAAAAAATCGGCGCAAGGCAATTTATTTACATTTAAAAGGAAAATTGCAGCGTGATCGACAATCCATACTATGGAGCTTATACTAGCTGCCCTTGACTTTACGTCCACTGACCTGGTACTTGCCAATACCCTGCTGCTGCTGCTGCTTAACTTTTCGCTTCTGCCATGTTGCCAAATCTCTTGCACAACCGTCAACACGCTACTGGACTGTGGCTAAAGAATAAAATTTACAAAAAAAAACAGTTTTCTGATTTTGTTCGGTATAAACGGTTTTTTCGGACATAATAAATTTGACTTTGTTGAAAAATAAAATAAATTCTAATAATCCCAACCAATAAGAAAGCTTCGGTAATTAAGAGATATTCAATAATTTTGTCACAAGCCAATTTCTATGATTTTATTGGCCAAATTAATAAAACTCAAGTTTATTTTAATTTGTCAATTTAATAACAATTTTATTAATCTTTGACTAATTTATCCACCAGATTTAAAAATACCAGTCAAATTTATTTCCATTTAACAAAGTATTTCCTAATTAAAATTAATTCACAAAAGGCTCAATTAAAATCAAAATATGTAAAATTTCGTAAAACGGCCTTAACATTAACACTAGTTAAATAGTTAATTGCATTTAATACCTTTGGAGCATTATTTATGTTGTAATTATTGTATTTGTTATGATTTTATAAAATGTGTTGTTCTAAGAATTTATTTAAATGTCAGATACCTTTGTTAAAAAAAATTAGAAATACCAGTATATATAGCTATAGCTACCAATACATAAAAATAAAATAATGATAAAGTCAACTTACATAATTAGAGAGGAGATATATTTTTGCATACTTTGTTTGTTCAATAAAAACAATAGAATCCTAAATGTAGTTTTTAACGTTATAATTAATAATAAATTTGCTAAACGGCTTGCGTGACTTAAAAAAAAGGATTTTGAATTAGCACATACGTACGTATTTAAAATACTGATACAGTCTAAGATGGCCTGATAATGGATTTTTATTACTTATGCTGCTTATTATCCTGCAAAAATTATAGCCATTGCAAAAATGAAAATATGTATTTAAAAAAAAAATTGTGATATTTGAAATAATTCTGATTTTTTATGCATTTATTTCCAAATACTTTCTATTAAAAAAAAAGTCTATGGTATTCAAATCTGCGGATTGAGGGGGCAATTTTAAATCGTTGATCTTATTTCCAAAAAGCATTTCTCTACGATCTTTTCCGTGTGTTTTGGGACGTTATCATCTTGGTAAATGAATATAAATAATAAAACCTACATAAGAGTATAGGTTTTATTATTTATTTACTTAAGTAGATCATAGAAAGGGTATTTATTTTATTTTGGTTACATTATTATTGGAAAATACTTTATAAAAGTGATTATAATAAAGGTCAAAGGGTAAAGGTCATAGGTCAAGGGTTAAAAATCCGTTGCAATGGATCGACGTTATTTTTGCATATAGTTTGGGCCGAAAAGTATCATTTTGTTGATTTTTACCTCTTGACCTTTAACCTTTGACTTTTGTCCTTTGACCTTTCCAAGAAATATCACATATCCTTTAAGGCCGCAGTGTAGCTGTTACCCCCCTTGGTGAAATTCTGATAATATAAACTGAATATATTGTACAAAGACCAAAACAAAAATTAATTTTGTATAGTTGGATGGAATGACCCTTTAACTTTCAATATCTTGATCATGATTTTGTAAAAGAGCACACAATTTCTTTGTTCTCCAAACGCATAAATTTAATGTATTTACCCTTTGCTTCAGGTAGGCATGCCTCTAGCCACAACACAAGCAATTTAATTTGTAGTAGAAAAAAAATAGTTTACAGTATAAATATTTACTTTTGCATTTGCAGCAGGAGGTCTGGAATAGAGCATGTATAAAAAACATCGACTTTTATTATACATGTGGCGAGTGAACAAAGGTTTTTTCCAATTGACCACCCATTTTTAATGGTGAATTTTGCAGATGTTGCTTATATTAAACAACTGTTGCATGCACCTTTTCATTATAAAATGCGCCAAATAACAACAAAAATATAATACAATTTTTTTTCTGTTTTTTAAGGTTTTATAATATCAATATGCACCATACTTAACCGATTATAATTATCTATTAAAATGAGACTGGTTTTTAAAATACATTAAAATTTGATCGTAAGATAACATTACGTCTTGTCAAAAGCGTCAAAATTGTGTTGTGTAATGTTTATAATATAACCGGACTTAATTGTATTACATATTAATTTTTCATTTAATATAAATTGCTTTTTGCTTAAACATAGTAACCAACGCCAAAATCCTTCCACTTCAAGTCATCAAGTTATAAGCATTTTTTTAAAATTGTTGAATTTTTATTACTTTAGAGACCGCTAGTTTTTTAGAAGAATCAGAACTTTGAAATTATTTTTGTTACAAACAAACAAACAAAAAACTTCATCCTTTCAAATGTCAGTCATCGAGTTATAGACAATTTTTCAAAAATATGCGTGGGTAGGTATATGTTTAATTGTTATGCATTTTTTTGTATGTATATGTAGTTAACAGTAAAAATATAAGGTGACTAAGAAATTTGCATGTTATTTTTTGTGCCGCGAAATTAGATCATCGGTTATGTGAGTTGGGTTGAGCCTTCATAATAATTTTAACATTAAAAGTCCTTTTTAGGAACGTGCAAGGTCCATGTTAAAGAATGGAAAATAATTCCAAATTGATTTAATTGATACTTGACTGTGAAGTAACAATTTTATTTATTTGATTTATTAATATCATTTTCATCAGTTACTTTTGAAATTGTGACATATGTTATCATATGATTCTAAAGTAGAAACAACCCCTAAAATTTTAATCGGCAAGATACCTCATTTGATAGTATTATAAAAATCAAATTATATTCCGTAATTTTCGAGTTTAACACCTCCAACTAAGTATTGCAACCCATCGCTATTTATATTTAGATAGCGTGCGTAAGCAGCGGCGAGATGTATTGCTTAACTTTAAATATGTCGAAAATGAATAAATAAAATTTAGGGGTTGTGACTGCTGCGCGAAGAAATGAAGCTATTAAAAAAGCCCCCCTCAAAAATGAAGTTTTTAATTCACTGCCTAAATCTGAAAACTTGTTTTCGTTTGGCCACCCTGTATTAGTTTTCCAGCCGATAATGTGTGATAATTTCTAAAAAGAATCAATAGACTTAATCAGCACAAATCCTGCTGTATTCAACACCATAGGCAACCAACATTACATGTTGCAGGAATGGCTGTATACTGTGTTGCGTGTTTTCTGTATTAACGATTTCTGCGGTTATAATATGATCTAATACAAAAATTATGTTTTAAATAACATAACAGAAAATTTAACTATTAGTTTGTTGTTATAATTTGTATTATATTATATATCTTTTGTTTGTTGGGTACACAATAAAAAAAATAAAAAACACTTTTTCTTTTTTTATAAAAATCTTTTTAGATTTTATAAACATTTTTAGCACAAGAGAATGTTTTTGTTTATAAAGGACAATATTAAAATAAGGCAAAGCCTTGAAGTAACTTGCAGATACTTTCATTTGGTATTTTTACAAATGTCATACAAAATGTACACAACAAACATTTTTTGCACTTAACGGATTTTGATTGCTATTTAAATTTGAAACAAAAGATTTTGCAATAAATTTAGTGTAGTGTGTCGATAAAAAAGTAACTTACCTCAAGCACATTAAATAATACTAAATATGTTTTTGTACGGAACTAATAATTATTTTTTATCTTTTTTATCTTGCTAATCATATAGTAATATTGGCATATTTTATCATGCACTTTCAACATTTTTATTGAACATTTCCTGAAAAATTGGAGTGATTTGTTTATTTTGTTAATCTTTCTACTTTAAAGCAAATTTACTGATGCTGATAAAAGTATATTTAAATTTCACCAATTTTTACAATGTTTACTTTCACCAAATAGCTGAGTATAGTTATTAATAATAACTTATTATTGAAGAAAATGTTCTAATATGTTGTGTATTATTTATTCCACGTTTATTGTTAAATTTGGACATCTTTAATATATATATATCAAGTATACTATGTATCAAGTTTTATAAACACGAGTTTAATTAAGCACTAGCGAAGCTTGCGAGCAAGTGTTTAATAAAAACGAGTGTCTAGAGAAGTTTATAAACGAGTTGCGTACTATACTTTATCTACGACGAACACAAAACGGAATTTTACTTGTTTAAAATTTGACATGTGTCAACTGTCACCCGAATATAACCTTACTTTTTCCCAAACTTCAGCCCGTGACTAAAAAGCTTAAAAGCCACTGTTTCTAACTTCAGCCCGTGACTAAAACGCTATAAAGTCACAGCTCTCCAATTTTTGTTATTCGGTGAAGCCGAATTAGTTTTTGGATGTCACACCCGTCACAAATAAATATATAACAATATGGGAGTGTAATTTTTAGACTAATGTGTTAAAGAATGCTTATTTAACTTGCATTTCCTACATTTTTATGCTTTTTGCACACTATAAGTGAATGGAAATAACCTAACCATACTACAGCGAAAAAAATATTAATTATTAGCTATGGTTTATTCAGGAAATATAAGTAATAACTACCAGAAATAAAAAAAATTCAGGTTATTATGTAACAATTAATATTTTTCTATGTAATGTTATTTGTTATAACTTACCTTTAGGGTTTTCTTCTGCATTTTCTTGTTTTTCTTCAGGTCCTATTTTGGTAGAGTCTGCATTTTCCACGATAACGATTGGGGTGCTATTGGTTTGCCTAAAAAAATAAATAAATTTTGATTAAAACATTTTCTTTTTTTTAAATGCATCTATTGTTTAAAATAAAACCGTCGATTATAGAAATTAGGTACCGTTAAGATAATTGATGGTTTAAATGGCTTCAAACGTGAAACGATAAAATCAATATAAATATTAAATTATCCAATGGTCCTACTTTTACTAATAGCTGTCGGTTTTTTGAGAAACAAAGTTGTAGCAAATTATGCATATGATTTGCATTTTAATCACTAATTTAATTTTTTAATATTGCCTCTTTAAAGTATTAAGATTTTAGTTTTCAAACACATGTTCATACAAGATGTTGCAATTATAATTTAACTAGTAATAAATGGGTATGAGGATAATTAAATTTTAAGAGTGTTTTTAGGTCATAAGGGTTTTAATAGTATATTATGGTTCAAGTTTCTTAACTTTTTCTAAGACAAATATTATAAAAATTACTAATTTATTTAAATATTTGTATATAAAATTAGAGTAACCAAATTGATGTTAGGATTCTGTTTTACAAGGCCACTTTATTTTGACAATTGTTTGATATTTGACAACTGTCAACTAACTTAAAGGTAACTTCAGCCCGTGACTAAAACGCCATAAAGTGACAGCTTGTCAATGTGTATTTAAAAGGTGACTTGTCATGAAAACCTGTACGATAATGGGCATTTTAAAGGTGGGAGAAAAAAATAATATTTTTTCAGTAATTATTTATATAAAAAGATGAAACCATTTTTTAATGATGTTAACATTTTAAACATAACCTTTTTTAGATATTACATAAAATTAATAATAATTTTATAATTTTATTGCCAAAATATCATCGTAAATTTCTCCGTTCAGTGTGGTTTTTTTATCATTATTAGTAACTATGCATCAATGTATGTATTAAATAATATACATGATAAGAAATAGAGCATGAAATATAAAGATTTGTGCAATAATGAGCTAATTAAATTATTATTCAATTTGTAAGATTTTTATTTTTCACGGTAGTAAATAATTATTAAAAATAATATACATTAATTTAAAAAAATATCAGTTTCTTGGGAGACATATTTTTTAATAGTAGTCACAATTTAATCGTAATCGTAATTTTTGAAAAAAAATATCTCAAAAAAAATACTGAATTTGTCGTTTAAAACCGATGCCTAGAAGATATAGTTTCAGGGCACCCTGTATTATACAGGCTGTATAAAGAGTTTTATTAAATTTTAAATAAACAAACAAAAACAATGTATTACCTATAATAAATAGCAGTGTATTCACAAAATGTTGAAATAAAAAAATTGCACACAATGTTACAGGAAGCCAAGAATTTATTGGTCATTCAGATGGTTAATAAAAAGTTGCAAATATAACGGTTATAGCCGAATGATACTGGGCGAAAATTCATAACATTTATTTTACATATACATATGTATGTATGTAGGTACACAAATACCGGTTATAGCAAATTAATGTGACGGATCCAAATTTATTTTTAATTTGTAGTTTTTTTTATTTCAATGATGTTTAAAATTACAACAAAAAATGGGTCAAAAGTTTTAAGAATTTTAATTATTTAAAAATTGATGCCACCAAAATAACGATTAAAAATGCATATAAACAGATATTTAAAAAAAAATACTTCCTTTTTTATTAGTATTATAACAACAACAAAAATATTTTAACAAAAGAACAAAATTATGAAATTAATAGATTTTTTGTGAAGCAATTAAAAAAACTTAATTTATTCAACTTTCTAGATTACTTTTATTGACAATGACCGACAATTTTAAAATTAATTATAACAACAGATGCTAATTTGTTTTAAGCAGATTTTTAATAGTTGGATGAAAAGACAGACAGGAATAATTAGAAAATTTAATTAAATTTAGTATTTTTACTGCTACCTTCAAATATTTTAAAATTATGAAGATTAACTTGCCCACGCCAATTTTTTCATGACTAACCGAATACTTGACATTTACAAGAAAAAAAATTAAATCGTGCCATAAAAAATATACGATTTAATCATGCAAACTAAAAATAAAGTTTCATATTAAAACAATTTGTGAAATTTGTATAGAATCAAGTAAGTATGGCTGGAGACAAGGATGACAAATTATATTCTGATCAGAGAAAAAGAAACAAACTTTAATTGGGCCTGGTTTAAACCAAGCCATTAGTAATTACGAACCATAGTTGCCAGGTTGTTTTAAATCAGAAGAGAACGATTATAATTATTTAATAAATAGTTACATTTTATTTCTTTGAAACTTTAAAAATAACAAAAAAATTAATAATATGTCAAAAATAATTTGATTTAGTTAATTTTCTTACTTTTAATATTAAAAAATAAGAAAAACAACCCTTTTAGGAAACAATAATAGCATATGGCAACAGCGCGGCATGCAGCCAGATACAAGGGCATGCAGTTTAATCTAGTGTTTGTTCAGTAGCTCTGACGCTGTCGTAGGGAAATGTGTATAGTTTTTAAGAAATACATTTTCGCCATTAACTGGAATTTAATGGATTTTAAACAATACTTAGTTTTTATTTGCAGAAATGCATTAAAACAAAACAAACAAATTCGATAAAAATTACAATACAAAACAAAAATAATTCTAAAATTCAATCCCTACCACAGTGGGCGGGGTTTGGCACTTGTTTTAATTAAATGTATCTATTCGTTTTAATACACACTGTATAAATATAGCATGTGCAACTTACTTGTAACTGGGTTCCGAGCCTTCCTCCTCGACTTCTCCAATGGTGGTAAGTTGCGGGGATATACTCCATTTCGAGCTGTAAACATCCATATCAGTTTCATAGACTTCGATGTCAGAAAAGTCATCTTCATTATACATCCTTTCGTTTTCTAGAAAGAGTTTAATGACTTCAATGTTTTCTTTCGTGGAAGATTTCGGTAGGAAATCCACTAGTCGCGGAAGGTTGTTCATATTTTCATCGTGCTGAAATTCTTTTTCCTTTTCCGATTGTGAGTTTTGCAGATCCCGCGATCTGGGCGGAACAGGAGGTTTTTGAACCGTTTTAGTTTTGGTTTCTGTTCGCATGTCCTCGTTTCCATAACTCAACGGAGCGTCTTGGAAGCAAGATGGTGGCTGAAGAGGTACGCCGTCCTTTTCGATTTCGACACTATTAAGAATCCCGTTTGTTGTTATTTTTGTTGGTATTACGTCGTCATCCTCAAAGATCAGCAAATTGGTTAGATCCAGTTGTTTTTGTATTGAGGTGGGGGTTGATGGCAGACTGCCAGCAAAACTGGACGTCGTCGTGGTAGGGAATGAGCCGAATCTGTCTATAACAGTCGATATAGTGCTAGCTGTGTCATCTGACTCGCTTAAACTTTGGCAGGATTCTTGCGATAATAAATTAATGTAAACTTCCGCATCTGGCGGTCCTAAACTGCCATCGGAAAACCGCCTGTCTCTTCGGGGAATATCAGGGGAATAACTTAAGCGCCCACTGGATCTGGGAGATTGAAATTTCTTAACTTTGTTGGAATCTAGGTTTCTAGAAGTTGGCACAGGGTTATTATTGACCTCCTGCACATTCTCCTTATTATTTTCATGATGAATATTCTTGTACAATTTCCTTGGAATCTTTCTTGGAGGTACAGGAGGGGGTGGCGGAGGTATCCTCTTTTTTTCCGCACTTATAACCAACGGTATATCTTCTATGGACCGTGCTTTCTGCACGGGTTGCTTAAAATGCCGTACCAACAACTTTATAACAACATTGGAGTCCTTTAAACACCTAACACAGTCGATACGAGTCATAGAGTTCACCAACACACCATCAATCTCCAAAACTTCATCACCTTCAGTCAATTTTCCCCATGAACTTATAACCCGAGACGCCGGACTATCAGGCGCACAACTTTGTATGAACAAACGCTTAACGAACTCACTGGCTTTGGTGCCGCCCTCAAACTTCAAACCGAACCCCAATCGTTCTCCTGGAAGTCTATACACTAGTACCTCTTCAGTGGTGTCCTTATTGTTTTCTCCATCACCTATGGTTAACACCGTTACATAACCAATTCCGTTTAAATCTGGCTGAGGTTGTACCTCACTCCCCACAGATACTACTGTCACAAAATTTTCCGTCTCCATGTTGAATGCTGTGTTGTGATCAAGTCATATTCACCTGAAAATAACAAGAAATGTTTAAAATGTCTTACGGTGAGAAATAGAGGTGTTAATTAATCTTATTAGGTATCAAAACAATTTGAAATTACGGTACTACTTCAACTGCTATAAATTTAATAGTAAAACTAGTTTGATAATCCGTGTTTTAGGTGTTCAATTGGATATAACGATTTTATGAATTTAGATTGCTTCATTATAAAATTGCTAACTTATTTACTCGTGCCATATTCAATGCAATATCTCTACATTCTTTATGTAAAATGTCAAGTGTATCCTAATGATATTTTGTTGTTTCATAATTCAAAAAGTTAGATGGTACTCGCCACAAAAGAGCATTCAATACGTCGTAAATAATAGCACCATGAAAACTAATAAATGTCTTTAGATTTTGATAATTTATTGGTAGTACCGCCTAGTTAACGATCTATTATAGATGTAGGTGTAACTATTTTTTACATTTTTATAGCAGTACCTTTAGAATAGAGCCTATTTAAAATATGTTAAATTGCTCGTGAAATAGCAGGCAGTTTTCAAGAGGTAATGCTTTTGAAAGGTTCTTTAATGTCGTGCCAAATATAGTTTAAAACGAATTACATTATGGATTAAATTAACCATAAAAGGTGGTACCGCAAAACTAATTGATTGTTTAAACATCGCAGTACCATGGGATAAACACGTTTTTCGTAAACAATTTATTAACATTTTTCTTTAGAGGGTGTTTAAAAATGGTACTACTTTTTTCATGAACAGTATTATTACTTAAACGGAATGGGCAGTACTTTTGTGTAATGAATTTTTTGAAAGTTACCAAATTTTGTACTAATAGCAAAAGTAGACAAGTTGTTTTTAAATAGTTTAGTTATATATATATATATATATATATATATATATATAATTTTATAAAATAGTACCAGTTTTAAGAAAAATGGTATTAAATTTAATTAATAAATTTAAGTTATACGAATTATAATTAATTTAAGGGTATTTAGTGGAAACATTGTAAAAAATATTTTTTTATTATGTGGTACCATTAATTATAATTGTGGTATTCCATTTTTGTGGTAAAATTTCTTGAAATGACATTTAAAAATGTTAAAAGTAATACAATTATTTTAGTATTAGTGCCAAATAATTTTATTTATTTCAATAAAAAGGGGTACTATAATTTTTAAGAAGTACTTATTAATTATAATTATATTTTTAAAGGTATCTAGCCTTAAATAAGTAACTACTAGACAATGAAATTATAATAAAAGTGTTAAAACAATTGATGCTAAAGTTCTTTGAGATGATTTGCAGTACCGAATGTAGATCAGTAGTGAAGTGTGCATAGAAGGTCACGTCCTATTTTCCTCTTAGCACTTAACAGGTGAAACACGGCCTTGGTACGGTACCGCTTATCCAATGAGCATGTACTATGTTTACACTCGATCCTAGGGGTGGTACTTACTGTCAAGCGTCTTGCGCACATTTTTTCACACACACACACACACACACGTACACCATTACGCGTACGAATAGTTTGAAGCGAGCGATGGTAAACAACTAATTTCACCTGAGCGCGAGCTCTGGAATACAACACGCAGAGCTGTGACCTCGTGTTTGTTCGCATTTCTTCGCGTACCAGCATTCATGCCCGCCAGCTAGGGCTATATCAATTACCTCTTTAGTACGACCTGTTCAAAAAATCTCTTCTCGAGAAGACCGATGTCCCAAATTCTTCGGAGACCGAGACTCAACTTGCACTGTAGTACCCACAGCATAAACACTGTTTGTGCTGCGGTAGTACCATTCAATCAATGCTTATGCCGCATCAGCATGATGTAGCTATTTGGTTTATTGTTGTCTATGTCATGCTTTTGTTTTTTACTTCAGTTTCCCTTTAGTACCTAAAAGAAATCACACAGATGTTGACCGAAAACATTGGTTCCTTTAAATTTCGCCACATCTGCTATTGCAATAGCCTCCTCGATATCCAGACATCAGCTTTTTGCTATATTGCATTGGAGGCAAACATTTTTGAATTTTTGATAAGAAAAGGGGCTGTAACGCGACAAAAAGAATTGTGCGAATGGAGTTACGGTACCACGTATTACTTGCAACAAGTTTTTTTCAATGAGGAGTACTCATTACTCGTTCCTTCAAATACTTCCCTAAAAAAATTACACTGATGTCTGAATATTGAGTATTTGGTCTTGCAACAAGTTTTTCTCTCAAACCTCACTCGTCCCTTAAATACTCCACATGAAAAAACCACACTGATGTCTGAGTATTAAGTATTTGGTCTTGCAAAAAGAAGTCCTTATTGACTCGTTCGTTTAAATGGAGTATTCTCCTCATAAAAAAATCACACTGATGTCTGCTTATTGAGTAATTGGTCTTGCAACAAGTTTCCCCAAAGAGGAGTTCTCATTGACTCGTTCCTTAAATACTCCACACAAAAAAATCACACTGATGTCCGAGTATTAAGTATTTGGTCTTGCAATAAATTTTCGTCAAAAAGGAGTCCTTATTGACTCGTTTCTTTAAATGAAGTATTCTCCAGATAAAAAATCACACTGATGTCTGAGCATTAAGTATTTGGTATGGATGCTGTTGCAATGGTCTTCTCGATATCTAGACATCAGTGTGTGTCTTTTTTCTGCAATATTGCATTAGTAGTAAAAAATCTTAAATGTTTGTTAAGAAAAGCGGTTTTAACGCGACAAAAAGAATTGTGCAAATGGAGTTACGGTACCATGTATTACATACGTGCGGCGATAATTGATCTATAAAATCTTGTTAAGTGTGTAATGAACTATAACAATTAAATGAATTTAATAACCCTTGCCATCCTGAGGCCGCAATCTGTGTTGGATATTTTTGCAAATAATTTCTTGTAGCATTATTTTTATAATGTAATGAATTTAAATCCATATCCAGTATATTATGTTGGTGCAAATACATGTAACATGATTACAACTATGCTTATAGAATATGAAGATATTTCAACTGTATGGTAAAAGATTTAGTTATTTTAACGTAATTGTCACTCATTTGAAGTTGCGTTATCAATTTTCGTCTCTATAATGCAACTTGGGTATTTAAATAAAGTTGCAAACAAAAGTTATATGAAATGAAAAATGCAATGTGCTTATACGGTACAAAGGAATTTGGCCTTTCATACTTGGATACAAAACGTACTTTGCTTTCTCTAATCGTTTGCGATATTTATATTTACAATAAATTTTAGTTTGGATGCAAACGGGTATTTAATTAATTCCAGAGAAACTAACTATGGTTACATCGTTAAAATTTATGAAAATTTATTTGAGCATAAAGAAGAAATTCGCATTTTTAGGATTTATTATGTTTTTATTGTACGCAATCAATTTGAAAACTCATTAGCGACAAATCAACATACGCACTTTCTTTTCGTCAGGATTATGTTTTCTTAAACACCCTGTACACAGTAAATTGTCTTGTGTGCTTGAAGTAAATAAGTCGCATTTAATTGCGGTAAATTTCAGAGAGTTCAGCATAAGAACGTTGTTTGTATGTATGTATAGATATACCTATGTATACAGGTGAATCTAACGGAACAATTTAAAACAACAAGTTGGGTATATTTGTTACGTATTCGGACGAAGTTATATTCGATCTTTTTCGGTTCGTCATTCATAAAATTTTAAGAGAACTCAAATTTTTAGAAAATAGATATTTGCAAAAATGGTGAATGCGCCGGGTTTAATTTTATAATTATATGACAATATAATAGTTAAGCAGCATTAAAATAAAATATGTTAAATAAACTCATTTATTATGGCATTAACATGAAAGATATAGACCTATTGACACGATATACAATTCTTAGATGAGAACTGCTTTCACCTTTCTAAATATTTCAAGAATCAAGTTTTTTCCAACACAACATTAAAACGTAAGCATGCAATTTTCTAATCAATCATGCTTTTATTTTGTACAGAAATATAGTTTTTCTACTCCCACCTTTAAAACGCGCATTATCGTACATGTTTTCATGACACTAAGTTACCTTTTAAATACACATTGACAAGTTGTGGCTTTATTGCGCTTTAGTCACGGGCCGAAGTTAGCAACAGGTTTTTAGTCACGGGCTGAAGTTAGTTTGAAGTTAGTTGACAGTTGTCAAATGTCATACAATCGTTAAAATAAAGTGCCTTTCTTGTAAAATAATACTAAATGTAAAAATTATTTTATTATCTCAATACAAAAATACAAAAGTATTAAATAGTTTCTCAACGCCAATATTTAAAAAATTTATATGAACATTGTACTGCCCTTTTAATTTCGCCGGCAGTAAACTATAACTTAAATTCGGGTACGGACTCCACTGTAAAGTGCTCATAAAATATTTTCTTTACTTTCACTGTGAAAAACTGTAAATTTTCAAGAAATACATTTCGATTTATAACCTTTATAATTGTGTTTATAAAATCAAAAAATTTGACATTTGACGGTGACACACAGATTCCCCTATTGTTTCATAGATGGCGCTCTATACAAATTTTTGATTTAATTTATTTTAAGATAATAATAAGTATTTGTCGTAGAAAAAGTATAGTATGCACCTCGTTTATAAACTTTTCTGTACACTCATTAATTTAAGCCTAAATTAAATTCGTGTATAAAATGGCGATTATCAAACTTGATACATAATATACTATTAAAAATGTTTTACTCTTATAATGTAATAAACAAACTAAAAACTAAAACATTTTATAGTTTTTTGATGTCTAGTGTTGCTCTATGATGTTTTATTTTCCAATATTGTAAATTGGGAAAATCAGTAAATATGCAAATAAATGCTGTTGTAGTTAATAAATTTTTTCCATGTTAAAGAAGATTGTGTTCGTAGAAAGAAGATTGTGTTCATAGAAACAAGTTATCTATCAATTTATTAACTCGAAAATAAAACAAATTATATCTTTAGAAAGTCGTTTTAAAAATTATTATTGGCCGTTTAAGGTTTAACATATCATCGAGACCAATTTAATGTTTTGTAAAAGGCAATGCGGGCTCCCGGGTTTTTGCAAAAAAATACTATAATATATACAGGGTGTACAAAGTTATCTGCAAATAGCAATTTTCAAGAGCTTTCCAATGAGGTATCACAAAAAGGGTGTAACCATTTAAAAAAAAATTGTTTAGGTTCATACTTATATAAATATATAAATTCTTTATTAAAAAATGTCATAACACTGTTTTTTTTATGTACTGCCAGTACTGTACTGTTAAAGTCTGAATCTAGGTTAATATCACGTATATGTAGATGTAGATGTGCCTGACCTTTTTTATTTACACTCATATAAGTATTTTATCTGCCAGGAAATAGACAAAGAATTATCATCATTAATAGAATTTTTAAATAGTCTTGTTGACTAAAGAATGTAATTTGTTACATATTTTTATTATATTTTATATTTATATGAATAAAATAAAGCACAGTGCTTATATCTATAAACCTGTATATTTAATTATTATTTATTTATCCAGCCTCTCACGGTAGACCGTTATTATAAATAATAGAAATAAACATTTATTCAACATTGAATATTTCATCATTAAATTATGCCTATATTTATAATTTTTTCTTGTAGTTATACCTATTTGTTTAATAACAGGGTTTTACAACAAAAAATATGCAACCAAATGCACAGTTTTATTTTATCTTTACTATTTACCTAAGAATTACAAAAAATCACACATATATAGGTATATAAAATATGATATATTTCTTAATATTAATACGGGCAAAGTTCTGTAAGAGATTAAATTTGAGACGGTATAATACTCTCTTGGAAATACCATGAACTACCGGAATACGTCATTTCCAGGACCGAACTTTAAGTTTATGTATTGGCAAAAATAGTACAAAACAAGAAAAAATATTGAGGTTTAACCTCAAAGGTTGATAATAGGATATTAAAGATCTAATGTCATAAGACGTCATAAGGTCTTACGACATAAGTTCTTTATGCTATTTTATCTATTTTGCAAAAATTCTATAGAATTTATATATAAAAACAATTAATTTGGGCGAATTTTACTTTTGATAGTTGGTATCACAGTTAATGTCAAAATCGATTCGCCATGCCGTCCTTAATTTACTTATTTACAATAAGCGCCTGTTAATGTTAAAGAAGAAAAAAGGATTTTTTTTGGTGTAAAACAAAACGCGTAGCGGAGGCCTACAATTGAGCGAAGCACAAAAAGGCACTTCTTGGCCGAATGGCATACAACATTTTATCTTCAAAGCACTTTATATAAGTCAATTTAATTCAAATCAAAGCGGCCTAACCTCACTTTTTTAGAATCTCATTTATTTATTAGCTAAAGATTACATTAAATGTACAATAATTATTATTGCTTTTAGAAGCAGTAATAGTTTGACAATACCTAGCTACATGATTTAAGTAGAAATGGATGTTTGCTATTACATTGAATTTAATTAATTGTTTAATAAATAGGTAGGTATCTAATTTCAATTTGTTTGGATTTTTATTTAAAAAATAGGTAGTTTGGATTGTTTAAGCTGTGTTTAACATTTAATTTCACTGAAAACTTAAAGCAAATTAAAACTTAAAGATAATTTAAATCGTTGCCTAACCTCACTTTTTGTTTTATTATTCATATTTAATTTTACAATAATTTAATGAAAAATATTAAACAAACAAATTAGTGCTTATTATAAATAAATTAAACCAGTTTAGTACGTTAATTTCTTAGAAAAGGATTAATTTGTCAAAACAATACCCCTAGCGAGAAAAAATCGAACTAATTACTTGCCTCATAAAATTTTTTATCGGCCTAGGCCATAACAAGGTATTTCTTTATCGAATGTTGACAACAATAAAGTTTAAATTATAGACCGCGCGGAGATAAATATTATTGTAATGGTTGTAAAAAATATTATTTTAATATAATTAATATTGTTTATATCAGGTTAAGAAGAATGGACAATCTTAATTTTAGATGTTAATTTTGCGCATTGTGAATGATCGTTTTGTGTTAATTATAAGTATAAATGAAACCACTAATTTCGAGGTTCTGAATGAGGCTTAAGTACGTCTCTGGTCGATAGATGACGTCATCGGGTAGCCGGTAGCGCTTTCTAGTGAAGTAAACGAATGCGCCTAGAATTCCGACAGTGCTGCTGTGTTTCTGTCCTAAATCCACTAGAAAAAGTAAACGTCAACATTTAGATATGTACGGTGAAAATGAATCGTAGTGAGGGATTTGTTAAAAGGAGAAATGTAACGCGTGAAAACGGTGACAGTGTCAACTCGAAGGAAACAAACAACGATGAAAAAAAATCGATTGAGGAGAGCGAGGAGGGCGATTCGAAGGAAACGCGTTTGACTTTGATGGAGGAGGTTTTACTGCTAGGTCTGAAAGATAAAGAAGGATACACATCGTTTTGGAATGATAGTATATCAAGTGGTTTAAGGGGGTGCATTTTGGTGGAGTTAGGGTTAAGGGGCCGTGTGGAGTTGGAGAGAGTGGGTATGCGCAAAAGAAGTCTGCTGGCGAGAAAGTTGATATTGAAATCCGACACACCAATCGGAGATGTTCTTCTCGACGAAGCGCTGAAACACATGAAGGAAACAGAACCCCCGGAAACCGTGCAAAGCTGGATCGAATACCTTAGCGGTGAAACATGGAACCCTCTGAAGCTTCGGTACCAGCTGAAAAACGTCAGGGAACGTCTGGCGAAAAACTTGGTCGAGAAGGGCGTTCTAACAACGGAAAAACAGAATTTTCTTTTCTTCGATATGACCACACACCCTTTGACCGACAATGTAACCAAAGGTCGGTTAATCAAGAAGGTGCAAGATGCTGTTCTATCGAAATGGGTTAATGATCCTCAACTCATGGACCGAAGGATGCTGGCGTTGATTATTTTAGCGCACGCCAGCGACGTTCTAGAAAACGCTTTTGCCCCACTCAATGACGATGACTACGAAATTGCCACCAAAAGGGTTAAAAAACTGTTGGACCTTAATTATGAAAATGAATCCAACAATCCCAATATATCAGATGTCTTGTGGGCTGTTTTTGCTGCATTGGCAAAATAATACATCAAGAAAACTTTGTTCTCATGAAAACTGTATCTTAAAAACTATTAATCACTGATTATTGAAATTATTATATATATATTTATAATTTAGTTAATCTAGCTATATATATTCAAATTATTCATTAACATTAATACTTTTTGAGATACAGCCTGCAATAGGTTTGTCCTATCTACTGCGCGTGCGCTTTACATACCTACAGTGCGCTCATGAGGACTAATACCGTTTTTTTTTCTGTAAAATTTCACTAGGGTATTAATATTTTATACCGTGTTTGTTTTTCAATAATTTAGCAGTGCTGTTTCTTTTAAAATTATAGTTACTTGAAATTTTATACTGTGATGTAGGCATTGAAAATTCATATGTGCAGTTTTTTACAATGTTTTTTAGTTACAGTACATCCACTATATACAGCTCCACACTGCTATAACCAATTTTAATGTTTTTTTATGTTCCATTGTTAAAAACTGCACAAAATCTATCAAAAATATATTATTTTTTATTATTTCAAATATTAATATATACACTCACATTTTATTTCATTCCACATAAAAAGCAAAATTTAAAAAAGCAAATTCCTATTTAAAATGTATTAGTATTAATTAAATTTATATGTTAAACTTATTATATGTCATATATAAATAAATAAATGTTAAAAAATCCATTTTATCGTTTCAATAAATTTTCAAGGACACTAAAAGCGTCGTCCTTCAAAATTCAATTCGTTTTTTTTGTTTTATGTTGAACTAATCCTTAAATTATGTTTATAACTCTGATAATTATTACCTTGAAAAATTGATAAATCAAAACCAACATTAAATTTATCTGCAAAATAATGTAAATTGTAAATAAACTTTTATTTTGTGTACATTATAGTTTTGTTTTATTATACTTTTTAGTTTCGAACATAAATTGTGTAATAAACATTAAGTAACAAAGCAAATTTTCTTTATTATCCCCCCCATTCTCGCAAATATGAATATAATCGTATTGAAAAAATAATGTTTCTGTGCAATATGCAACCCAGATAACATTTTGATTTTTTTAGCTGTAAGTTGGCAATGACGTGTCAGGTAGGCAACCAGTCGGACATGAAAACTGCAGTCTGTAAATGATGCAATTTTTCAGTAGGTTTTCCAATGTCATAAAGGCCGCGTTAAAATACTGTGTTTGTATTGGTTGTCCAGTTGAAATTTACAATGTGATTATTTTTAAATGTCCTTTAAATAGACCGTCCAAATTTTGTCGAGTGTAAACAAACGGTGAGATTGTAAACAGTTTTTTACTTTCGTTATATTTCTAAACAAAGGGTTTGGTTGTTGATATTTTTGTCCTATTGGACATTTTAAGTGCAAGATTTTTGTGTTGTTTACTGTCATTAAATTAAACTAGTTTGATAATTGTTACAAAATTGATATTAAATTAGTTAAAAATACTTTCACTTTTTTTTGTTATTTCATAATACTTTACAATATGTTTTTGTTACTCACTAATTATATTTTTAGAAGTTGACCAACATGGATTCATTTTTGAGTTTATTTGATCCAAGCTCGGAGACCAATAATGAGCACTACAGTATTGACAATGTTAATAATAATAACGAATCTTTACCCCCTGAACCTCAGGTTGGAAATGTCGAGTACAAATTGAAAATTATCAACCCAACAAAACAGAGATTCGAACACCTTGTGACACAGGTAAGTTATAAATAGTAAATTTAGTTTTCATTTTCCTTGTTATTTTTAAAAACAATTTTACTGTAGAGAATTAACATTTTTCTATACAATTATTATTTTCTGAGATATTGAAAATTTATTGTGATTTTGTAATGGTTATTTCTGTCAATAACAGAAGAGAGAAGTAACAGAAACAACCTTGTTTAAAAAAAAATTATAATTATGACTTTTTCTCACTTTTTTCAATTTTTTTTATTAAAAGTGGTCAGGGCTCAGGTTAAAAATTAATTGAAAAGATCTGAGTTTTTGTGTGTACCTTCAGGATATTTTTTTTTATTGACGTTATTAGCACATCTTTTTTTTCAAATAATAAACATTAAATAAAATAAATTTTGTTTATTTTTTGAAAGGGCGGGGCATGTTAGGAATATTTGGACGATTTTTGTTATAATGTTATGCATATTTTTTCTATATAACATTTTTCTATAGAATTAGTATTTTCTTAGATATTTATCGTAATTTTTTAATGGTTAATTCTGTATGTTTTTATAATTACCGAATTAATAAATAATATTTTAATAAAATTCTTTTTCAGAGAATTGAATTATGATTATTTTCTCAATACAATATTTTTTCATAGAATTATCTTCTTAGATATTGCAAATTTATTGTAATTTTTCAATGGTTAATTCTGTTTTTGTAAAATATTTCTTTACCTAGTAATTTTTTGACGATTTACGTAATAACAATTTCTTTAGGAAATTAAATTATGCATAATTTTTGCACACAACATTTTTCTATTAAATTAATATTTTCTGATATATTGCAATATTTTAAATTCCATGTACTTTTTAGTTAAAATGGAGATTAAGGGAGGGTAATGGGGAAGCTATATACGAAATAGGGGTTGAGGATAGTGGTATTTTGGCGGGACTTTCAAAATGGGACATGAAAGCCAGCTTACAAACTTTACACGCAATGGCGACAAAACTGGGTGCTACAATAGCAGTTTTAAGAGAACGCCATTTAGATAATGGCCGTAGCGTTTCAGAGGTCCTCGTAAGAAAAGTACCTGATGATCAAAATAACATCGAAATTAGGTAATTTGTTTACAAATGTTTTTTATTGTTTGATAAAAACTAATTCTCAAGTAGGAAATCAGTCAAGGTTAAGTTATATTCCATTTATAATATGGTTTTAACTTTTTTAAATGTTTTTTTTTCTAATTGTTGAGCATAATATGATTTAAACTTTTTGTTGACTGACTGCGCCATTATTTTAGGGTTGCGGTCTTGGGTAACGCAGACGCTGGAAAATCTACTTTACTGGGGGTGCTGACGCAAGGAAAACTGGACAACGGTAAAGGAAGGGCGAGATTAAACATGTTTAGACATTTGCACGAAATCCAAAGTGGGAGAACATCATCGATTTCGCACGCTATTTTGGGTTTTAACTCTCAGGGACAGCCGATCAACTATGGTTATAGCGAGCTGATAACAGAAGAAGAAATTTGCGATACGTCAACAAAACTGGTGACATTTTTGGATTTGGCCGGTTACAAAAAATACATACGCACAACGATACAGGGATTGTCCGGGTATTCCCCGCACTATGCGATGCTGGTTATATCCAGTACCGCCGGCGCGGTGGGTATGGCACACGAGCACCTCGCAATAGCGGTGGCTCTCAACGTTCCGTTTTTCATCGTCATCACCAAAACCGATCTGGCAACGCCGCACAGCACTTTGCAATCGCTGGAATCCTTCTTGAAGCAAGTCGGCAGCCGGAAGGTGCCCTTGATCATCAAAAACATCGATGACGTCATCACGGCCGGAGCCAATCAGCTCACGGAGAACGTCGTGCCGATTTTTTGCGTTTCCAGCGTCAATGGCGAGGGGCTGGAGATGCTGTTTAAGTTTTTGCACGTGCTGCCCCCTGGGATTAGTCTTAAGGAAAAGGAGCGCTTGGAACAAGTAAATTATTTGGTTAGACTTTAGGACAAATTTTAAACATCATTTTAGATCAATTTAACTCTTATTAAGATTGTTTAGGACAATTTTAAAGGTTAAATGGTTTAGAACAATGTTGTAATCATTTTTAACATTTTATGATAAAACTAGACAAATTTAAGACATATAAAAAGGTTTTAGGACAATTTTGTAATTATTTTGGATATTTTTTGCATTTTTAAATAAAACAGGACAAATTTAGGACACTTCAAAATTAAAAAGTCTTAAAACAAAAATAAGAAGGTTTTAGAACAATTTAGTGAAAATTTTATTACTTTTATTTTTTTTTAAACCAGACAATCTAAAGACATTTAAAAATGTAGGACAATTTTTGCAGATTTCAAAACTAGAAAGTTTTATTTTAAAATAAATAAAAGGTTTGTTATTAATATTATTTCTTAAATTTATAATATATTAAGAAACAAATATTAAAGGTTTTTACAACAATTTTGTGACTGTTGTAGAAATTTTAAGCATATAAAAACAGACAAATTTAAGACATTCAGAAATTTTGAACAATTTTGGACAGCTTTAGAGAAAAAAGTTCTAAAACAAACAAGAAGTTTTTAAAACAATTTTGTGACTGTTGTAGAAATTTTAAGCATATACAAACAGACAAATTTAAGACATTCTGTTTTGGACAATTTAGGACACTTGAAAAAGGACAACTTTGTGTTTTTTGGCGTTGGGGAATATTTCTAATATTTGTTTAATTTAGGACAGTTTAATAGAAAAAAGTTCTAAATCAAACAAGAAGTTTTTAGAACAATTTTGTGATTATTTTAGAAATGTTTACCATATAAAAACAGACAACTTAAATACCTATTCAGAAAGTTTTGAACAATTTAGGACAGTTTTAGAGGAAAAAAGTTCTAAAACAAAAAAGAAGTTTTTAGAAAAATTTTGTGACTATTGTATTAATTTTTTAGCATTTTTATATACAACCTGACAATTAAGAAATGTTAAGAAAGTTTGGGGCAATTTTCAACAGAAAAGAATAAAAGTTCCAAAACAATCTTAACAAGTTTTTATTGTAGTCATTTTTTAGCATTTTTATATAAAACCTGACAATTTAGAAACATTAAAAAAGTTTAGGGCATTTTTTAACAGAACAGAATAAAAGTTCTAAAACAGTCTTAAAAAGTTTATAGAACAATTTTGTGACTTATAAAAAGGTTTAGCAAATAAAAACAGACAAATTTAAGACATTCTGTTTTGGATAATTTAGGACACTTGAAAAAGGACAACTTTGTGTTTTTTGGTGTTGGGGAATATTTCTAATATTTGTTTAATTTAGGACAGTTAAGAGAAAAAAGTTCTAAATCAAACAAGAAGTTTTTAGAACAATTTTGTGAATATTGTAGTCATTTTTTAGCATTTTTATATAAAACCGAAACAGGCAAACAAGTTTAGGGCAATTTTGGACAGGTTTAGAATAAAAGTTCTAAAACAATCCTAAGAAGTTTTTTAACAATTTTGTGATTATTTTAGAAATGTTTACCATATAAAAACAGACAACTTTAAGACCTGTTCAGAAAGTTTTGGACAATTTAGGACAGTTTTAGATGAAATAAGTTCTAAATCAAAAAAGATTTTGAGACTATTATAGTTATTTTCTAGCATTTTTATACAGGGTGAGTTTTAAGTTGACGCGTTCCTTTTAACAGCGTGTAGAAATCAGATAAACAAATAAATATTTTAAGTAACTTTTTTATCAAAACTCAAAAATAAGAGAGTTATATATAGGCCTTCCAAGTTTAATTAAATTTTGCTATTGTTAACAAAAAACATAACCATAAAAATAAAAATAACAAAATAAACAATGCAAAATATCATCTATGACAACAAACATAACCATTTAAATCAAAATGACATTTAGCAATGAAAAATGTCAGTTTTTTTGTGCCTCAATTATTGTTAAAAATGGTTTATAATTATAGAAATAATGAATTAGTGGAAATGTTACTAATTTATGGAGAGTGTCGTCAAAATGCAAATGCTGCAACTTAAGTAAATAATGACATTTTTTATTGCAAAATGTCAATTTGATTTAAATGGTTATGTTTGTTGTCAAATATGACATTTTGCATTGTTTATTTTGATATTTTTATGGCTATGTTTTTCGTTAACAATAGCCAGGACCGGCTTAAAATTTAATTAAACTTTGATGGGCTATAACTTTTTTATTTTTGAGTTTTGATAAAAAAGTTACTTAAAATATTTATTTGTCTACACACTGTTAAAAGGAACGCGTCAACTTAAAACTCACCCTGTATACAGACTGACAATTAAGAAAGTTTAGGACAGTTTTAGAATAAACCCTCTAAAAAGATTTTATAAAAAATTTGTGAGTATTGTAGTGATTTTAGCATTTTTTGATAAAACTAGATAAACATATTTTGGACAAATTTAAGTTGTAAAACAAATATTAGAAGGTTTTAAAACAATTTTCTGACTATTTTTAACTTTTTGGTTAAACCAAACAAATTTATAAAGACAATTTTTAAGAGTTTCAAAATTTTCCTAAACTTTCTTAAATAAAATCCGGCAATAGGTAGAAAAAAGAATAAAATATGAAAATATTATATGTAGGGTTGCAATTTTTCATGAAAAGTTGAAATTTTTGAAAAGTTGGGTTTTATTTTTCGGAAAAGTTCGGAAAAGTTGGAAAAGATGGAAACGTTGATTTTTTTGTAATGTAAACGTATAAAACATGCTTGTCAATGTATTAAAATAATTTATTTCTTATGTATTTATACATACGTAACAAGTTGTTTTATAACAAAATAAAAAATAACTACAAAAAAATATGAAGCAAAAATTATTAAATTTACTGATGTTAAAAATTATGGAAATTTACAAGTAAAAATTTAAAAAGAAAAAGATATGAAAACTTTCTTCTTTTCCACTTTTATATTTTCATAATTAAAAAAAATATATATTTTTTTCATACTGTGTATAAATTTGCACTCTTCCAGTTTTGATTTATGGTAGTGGAAACACTGGTTAGAAGTCAACTCATTGTTCATTGGCTCCCACCTAATAACTTTTCCAACTTTTCATAGAGGGTGCCGAACTTTTCCAACTTTTCGACCGAACTTTTCCTTGTTTGCAACACTAATTATATGGCATTATAAACATGTTTTGCTTTCTTTAAGGAGGCGCCTGAGTTCCACATCGATGAAAATTTTCGCGCAGGTGACTTGGGCCAGGTTATGGGCGGTCTCCTGACTAAAGGCGTAGTAACAGAGGGCACCAGGATGCAAATAGGCCCGATGAAGGACGGCAATTTCGAGCTGTGCGTCGTGAAATCGATCCACCGCAACCGAGTGCCTTGCCGAATGGTGCGCGCAGGTCAAAGCGCCGCGCTCTGCGTCGACAAGTACGTCAACTATCTGCGCAACGGCCTGGTTCTGCTTTCTGCGCAGACCGCGGGCCGCGGCTGCCTCTTCTTCCAAGCGAGCGTGTCGGTTTTGTTCCACGCCACGGCGATTTACAAGGGCTTTCAAACGACGGTGCACATCGGGAACGTCAGGCAGACGGCCGTCGTCATCGGTATTTTCGCCTCGAAATGCTTGCACACCAACGAGAGGGCCTCGGTTTTGTTCAAATTTAAAAATTACCCCGAATACGTCAACGTCGGGCAACGTTTGCTGTTCCGCGAAGGAGCGGCTAAAGGCATCGGCGAAATAACGCAGGTTTTTCCCATGTAAACAAGTTAACACTCGTTTTTGGCATAATTGCATGTTTTATTTAAAGTGACTGGACTTTTCTGTCGTCTTAAAGTTATTTATAAAAAAGTACCTGACAGTTAGAAAATGACCTTTTTTATTCCAATAGTATTTTCGTTTTTTTTTATATAGTGCAATTAATGTTGTATATAACTGTACATACATGTATTAGGATCAAAATTGATTTTCAATAGTTTCCCCACCTAAAATAAACAAATTTTATTTTTTAAACAATTTAAGCCAAAATCTGTGATTGTATTTTAAGATATATGTATGTAGATATTTTATCAGTATTAACTACATATATAGAGTTTTTTGTGTTTGATGATTAACCCATTCTTGCGAATATTTCTCAAAAATTTCGCATCAATGATTAATGTGAACAATTATTGTTGATACAATCTTATAGATCTCTTAAATAAATTTTAAATATCTGATCATGAGTTTTTTATTTTTAAGTTTTTAAAATGATTTAAAGGTAAGTATATATGCGCCAATGCTCAGCTGGAGATTCGTCAGCTTGCGAGCGAGTGTTTAATAAAAACAAGTGTCTAGAGAAGTTTGTAAAACGAGTTGCATACATTTACCAAAGTAGTGATAACTTTAAATTAGTTAAGCTATTTTAATTTTTACTTAAAAGTAATTCTAACTTTTAAAGAGCAATATTTCTTTCCTTAAATGTAAAAAGTAATAAACATTTAAGTAAAACTTGGTTGCCCCCAAGAAGACTTTGCAACTTTAAAAAAGGTGTTATAAGTAAAAAAAAACTTTCAAGTAAATTTAATTTGTAGCAGTTACTTTCGGTTCCTACCTAAAGATTACATTATATTTATTTTTACTTTGTAGTCCCTTTGCAAGTTAAAATCTCGAAACTGGTTATTATTTTACTATTTGGAACGTTTATGGTACTAACCAAAACTACCGTTAAGTAAATTAAGGTGGAAAAAACGTTTAAGTAGCGAAAACTACTTCAAAGGAAAATGCTTCTTATCGGCCATTTTTTACTGTACAGTACCACGTGGTAATGTAAATAATAAATTATTTTAATTGTTTCTAAATGGTTCTTTACTTTTTAATAAATAGTAATTTTGTTGGTAATAGACGGTATTAATAATTAAATAAAAAATTAATAATAAATATTAAGATTTTTTTATTTATAAACATTATTAAATAAATAATTTGTTTATACTTAAATATTGATGAAGCGCATTTATTTTACAAAAACTAAATTCATAAGTTCAACAGTAAAATTTAAAGGGTTTATAAATTTACCTGCCTAATTAAACATTATATTGTTATTCTGGAAGTTATAAACTACCAGTAGATAATTAATAAACGACGACATTGAAAAGCCAAGTCCGTAGTGGTTCCATTTAAAAAAGGAGGGATATTATAATCTAATATAAGTTTGACAAAGACAGTTAATATAGAAGTAAAAACAAATAAATAAAAGTAATTATAACGCTCTAGCAACGATATTGAAACGTTCTAGTAACGTAGCAGCTACGTTCAAAAAAGCAGCAGGGTTTATAGCTAGTGACATATTTGTTACATTTTTGGAATAATTGTTCCCCACTTTAGTCGAAACTTAGTAATGAAAGGGTAATATAAAGAGACCGGCGACTGTCGCAAAATACTTAAAGTTTCTTTAATAGTCCCATATACGTAACAAATACTTAAATTGTTGCTTGGGATACTTTATCTTCGACGAACAGAAATAAAAATAAGAGCCAATTTTATTTCATAAAATCTAACATTTTACGAATTTAACCTACTTTTTCGCAATTTATAATAAAGCTTTAAAGATTATACGTTATGGGCCTGGGAGAAACATTTAACTTTGTATTTATTTTTACTTTTTTTTTAATTATCTTTATGATTTTTTTCTTCTTTACATAACTTTCCATAAAAAATGATCAATTGCAATTCCAGAAAGTTGATTTTTATCATATTCAATTAATTTATGTAACCTGATACTAACGCCTCTTATTTTTTATGGGAATATCTATTTACCATATAAATCGCTCCAAAAAATAGGTTCAGTTTGATTTTGGTTGTTGCTCTATGAAAATGTACGCTCTAAAATGAGGTTTTACAAAAACATTTTTGTGTTTTGTGCACTTTTAATTGGATGCAGCGGGGAACAAAGAAAAAAACGGTATGTATCAAAATTATTTAATTAAATCACAAATAATTGCAATTAAAAATGTTTTAACTAATAGAATTATTTTAACAATATTTGTACACTGTTGGGGTATAAAACCAGAGCCGGATCCAGGCGCCAATACTATATATAAATATTAGAAAAAATTTTTAGAGGGAAAATAAATCATTCCTCCCCCAAATTGTTTCTGGATCCGCCGCTAATAAAACTATACACATTAATTTTACAGTGTTAAATAAATTAACAAAATCCTATGCTGGAACAACGTCGTAAGTGTTAGAAATGAGTTTTGTGAAATATCGAGAAATCAAAGATGCCAAAAATGATTAAAATTTTCTTGCCTTTACAATCGGGTAGACATTGTCTACTAGACAAATACAAACATAAAAAACATTGTGAAAATTTGCCTGTTTCTGTAAGCACACTCGCCACAGGTCGCCCTTTATAGGCAACAGGTGCAGCGACAGCGGTGAGAGGTAATTAGTACCATCTACCGTCCAAAGGACGTATCATAGCAGGAATCGAAGTTTCGGTATAGAATTTAATAATTATAAAAGTATAAAAAATTTTGCATGAGATTTTTCACAGCCCAATAAATGTCAATTTGTTTTAAATCACAGAATTTCGCACACTCTTTTATTTATAGCTCGGGGCGTTTGGAACATTAAATACTCGGCGGCGTAGTTAAAAATTTCGCGCACGTTAAACATGGTTTTAGCGGAACATTCGTAAAAGTTGATGGCACCAATTTTTTTCGCCACCTTGTAGCCTTCTTTATTCGTGACAGGTTTTTTCCCGTGTTTGAGTAAACTAGTTATTACTTCTGGGTCACTTCTTAGGTCTAGTTTATTTCCTACCAATATTATCGGTTTGTTGGGCAAAAAGTGCTTTACTTCGGGAGCCCACTTCATGTATACATTCACTAAAGAGTCAGGATTTTCGATGTTATAACACATAAGTATTAAATCTGTCCCGGGATAACTTAATGGTCTTAATCTATCATAGTCTTCTTCTCCAGCAGTGTCCCACAGTCTTAAAAAACAGTCCTTATCCCCGACCTTAATTTCTTTACTTTGTATTTCGTATATTGTCGGTACATAGTCTTCGTTAAAGTCATTTTTCGTGAAGGAAATCAACAGACACGTTTTACCACAAGCACCGTCACCAACTACCACAATTTTATGGTTAAACATGATGATGAACTTAACGAGTTATGGTTATTTTGTTTGATTTAAATGATAAGTCTTATCTTACCTGTCGTTTTTCTCAAAAAAGATAATTTTTAATGTAGTTGCACATCCATATTTAAATTATTACATAATATTTAGTGATCTATAATATCATTCATAGATTACAATTCTGTAATCTACTCAATTTACATGTTAAAATTTGATTAAACATAAAATATTTTTTTTTAGAACTTGTTATGCCACTATTCCTTATCAAAATCTTTAAAAAATTCCAATATCTTTTCTCGCGGTAAATTACTGTTTATATTTAATAACTTAAATTTTAAATATTAATTTAATTAAAAAAATTGACAAACAATTTTTTATAGTATTTATACTTCCGCATTCGCGTGTTTTCCGCAAAAAATTACTATTGATATCTGTTTCCGCTACTTCTTCTGTTATGACCACTAACCAAAGGCCATAAGTGGCCATAACATAAATTTCAAAATTTTTACAAGGTTTGTGTAATAGTTTTAAAAGTTAAAAAGTCTTTGATAATAAATTGTTCGAAATTAAGATCTCAATAAATTAAAATTATTTTTTTAGCGACATTCAAGGAATTCAAGCTAGATTATACGCTCAAAATGGACATTTGTTCATTGAATCGGCCTATGATCGTAATATTACTATAAAAACCACAAGTTTTCGTGTGAATGACTTGGATTTACTACCAACTTTAGAAAAAGTAAGTATAAAAAAACATAGTTAAAAGTTCACTCATTTCGAGTAAATTTTCAACATAATTAAACAATATTATACACGGTGTTATACGTTCGTAGTCCATTAAAAGTTTCTGGGGAACGGCAAAAGATATCGATTTGTCTAAAATATTTTAAACAAAATGCCACTTTCGGCTTTACCGAAAGTGACATCAACTTTGCTATTTCAAATAGTACATCCCATATATTTTACATTTTTAAATTCTACAAAAAATTCTGATTAAAATGACTAAACCAATTTTACTCAGAATTTTACGTATCTATTTGAAATAGCAAAGTTAATGCCACTTCCGGTTAAACCGGAAACTTATTATGGACCAGGAATGTGAAACACCCTGTATAACATTTTATTTAGGCCCATAGAGCTCTAAAAACGGAGGAATCATTTCTAAGAAACTCAGAAGAGTATGATGACCGTTTAAACGTGATAGAACAAAGACTTATGGTCATTGATACATCTAAAATCGGAGGTGGTAATTTTTCGATAATTCCGGATTTTTCCGGTAGAAATTATAGAACCTTAAGAAGGCAAATCACTTCCTTGAACAACCGATTCAGGGATATGCTACTAAGATTATCATTTGATGATTGCAAGAGCAATCCGTGTAGAAATGGCGGGAGTTGTACTGATTTGTATGACTCCTACTTATGTAATTGTCCAAGCAATTGGGAGGTAATTTTTTACTTATAGGAGGTGGCTTGAAACTCTACAGATGATTTTTAGGGCACCAATTGCGATGTAGATGTCAATGAATGCGCCAGATTCGCTGGCACAGATTTAGGATGTCAGAACGGAGCTACGTGCGTTAATAAACCCGGGACTTACGAGTATGATTTTGACAAAATACATCACAACACATCCTTTATTTGTAATATTTTTAGATGCTCTTGCTTGCCGAACTTTTATGGCATCCATTGCACCAAAAAAACAGGCAGTTGCACTGAAGGTTCGACAGACATGTGTGGTCATGGTACATGCGTACCACAAAATAATCAGAATGGCTATAAATGTATATGTGACCAAGGTTGGAAAACTGACGGCACACATCCAGGTTGTACTGTAGATGTGGATGAATGTCTGCAAAGCAATCGAGCGTGCTCAACAAACCCCATGGTCAGTTGTATAAACACTCCCGGATCGTTTTCGTGCGGATTATGTCCTACTGGATATACAGGAAACGGGTTTTATTGTACAGATATAAACGAGTGCGAGATAAATAATGGAGGTTGCAGCGTTAACCCTTTAGTTCAATGTATAAATACGCACGTATGTACATATACATGTTTTTGATTTTTTTATACGTTAATTTTTCGGTAGGGATCCAGAACCTGTGGTCCCTGTCCTCCAGGTTATATTGGGGATGGGGGTCAATGTCAATATAGAGGTGTATGTAATATACTCAATGGAGGTTGCCATCATTTAGCTTCATGCAGGGATAACTCAAGTATACATAATACATCATACATCATGCCATAAGCTATTTTATGTATTTTAAGGAATCAGCGCAACATTTGTGGAATGTATATGCCCTGCGGGTTACTACGGAAACGGAATGGGACCTAATGGTTGTATAAAGATAGCGGGTAGTCCAAATGATCCCTGCACACCTAACCCTTGTAAGAATGGGCAATGCTCAGTAAGAAATGGATCGAGATTTGATAATGATTATGTTTGTTTGTGCAACTTGAGATACACTGGCCGTAACTGCGACATTCTTAAAGATCCTTGCGCTTCTAATCCTTGTCTGAACGGCGGTACTTGTCAGAATAGAATTATTCTTTTTAGGTGTACTTGTGCTCAAGGTTATAGCGGAAGGAGATGTCAAGTTGAAGATCAAGGTATATTAATATATTAAGGATGGAATCGCATAGAAATCCAATTTTTTCTAGCTTGCGGAGGTCGGTTGAAATCGGCTGAAGGTAGTGGAGTTCTAAGATACCCACCAATCGATTACATAACATACAATCATGGTGCTAACTGCGGTTGGACCATAGAAACAAATTCCTCTAAAGTGCTTAAGCTTGATTTCACAAAATTCAACTTGGAATTCTCAAAAGGTTGTCGATATGATTGGTTGCAAATCTACGATGGCCCTACTAGCGCAGCTCATAGTATTGGAAGGTTTTGTGGCAAAAATTTTCCAAATAATGGTACAATTATTTCGACGCATAATGTTGTTTTTGTTTGGTTTCACTCTGATAACACCATTTCCAATGAAGGCTTTCAAGTTAACTGGACTACCACAGAACCAGGTATTCTAGAAAATATATTTTTTTAAATTAATGGTATTAATAATTATTTTTAGAATGTGGAGGAGTCTATGTGGTCAAGCAACATGGTCAAATTTCTTCACCGGGATCACCCGGAAATTATCCTTTAAATCGCGACTGCACTTGGTCACTATATGCCCCAAACAACAAAAGGTTTTTATTTCAGTTCTTTTCGCTTATGATTGGTGATAACTCCGATTGCAGCCATGATTATTTAGAGGTAAGTTTCAAAATTTTAATTCAGTAAAATTTTAAAGTTTTTAATAGTTTAAGAGTGGCGATAAAGTATTCGGCAAATTTTGCAACTCGACTCAACCAGCACCGTTATATTCACCTGGACGCTTTGCTGAAGTACACTTTTATTCGGACAACATTGATAGTTATCCAGGATTTCAAATAACGTATTCAGTTATAGAAGGTACGCCTGGTTGTGGTGGCGTATATACATCAAACGTTGGCGAAATAAACTCACCAGTAGTAGACGGACAATACCCAAATAATATGTACTGTGAATACAACATAAAGCAAAGTCTTGATTCCAGGATCAAAATCACGTTTATTAGTTTTAACATTGAAGATTCTAGGGGCTGCAAATACGACTATATTTCGGTAAAACCCCTAAACATATATCGATTATATTTCAAGAAAAATAAATTATTGCTACTGAGGTTAAGCAGTGCAGAGCCTTCAAAATTTTCTGAAGACAAGAATCAGCTCAATGATTAACTTGGGCCCCTTCTACCTTTAGAATAGTAGGGGCGAGTATAAATAGCACCTTGGTTTCAATAATTCGTTTTTAAAAATGAAGAAGTAATCCATCAATATTTTAAATTTCAACAACTTTTAGATTCATGAAGGTCCAGACACGAAATCCCCGACAATCGGCCGATACTGCGGCACAACATTACCAGCACCTTACACCACACAAAGCAATGAATTAACCATTTTATTCCGTTCGGACTCAGCTAAAACCGGTTCGGGTTTTCGCCTTAAATTCGAGAAGGCTTGCGGAGGAAAATATTCCGCACCCACAGGTTTTATTGAATTTTCCAATACAGACGCAGGTGTCACGTGTATATACGAAATAATTCAGCCCCCTGGAAACGTGATTACGTTGGAGTTTAATGGGGATATTATTGAAAGAAGGATTAGATATGGATTTGGGATGGATGTTTTGGAAGTAAGATTTTTAATAGACAAACGATCCTTAACTTGACATGTTTTCTTGTATATTATAGATTAGAGACGGTGACAATCCGAGAGCACCCCTCTTAGGTAAATACCAAAGAGGTCCTATACCTACAGCTATATCAACTCATAACTACCTTTGGATTTCCTTCAAATCCCAGAATGTTGCTACAGCAGGTTTCAGAGCAAACTACTCCACAACTTACGTTGGGTGTGGTGGTATTTTAAGAGATAAAGTGGGCACCATATCATCGCCAAGTCACCCAACAGGTTACCCGTCAGAAAAAAAATGTACCTGGATGATATCGGCACCGGAGGGGCATGTTATTCAATTGACATGGGCACTTTTTCACTTGGAGCATAGTTACAAATGCAGCTACGATAGCATCACAATATATGATAATAATACAGGTCCTGGTTTGGGTGGGTTGATGGGCAAATATTGCGGTAATATACCTCCCCCTACCATGCTTTCATCCAGTAATTTAATGACGATTGTTTTTGAAACCGACCAATCTATTGCTATGGATGGATTCTCTGGTACCTACACTTTCATAAATGAAAATCACAGTAAGTTAAATGTAGTTTCAGTAAAGTGAAATATCATATATTTTATATGTTTTAGTATGCGGTGGTAGTTATTTTACACCAGCGGGTATCATTAAGTCACCCCAATACCCTGATAATTACCCCATTGAGAAAAAATGTATTTGGAAAATCACTGTGGAAAGTGGCAATCAGATTTTGCTTAACATTACAGATTTCTCTATTGAGTCCTACCCAAACTGCAGATATGATTGGCTGGAAATAAGGTTATTTATACTATTACAATTGCACCCAGCATAAGACACTAATATCATTATTATTATAGGAACGGTGGTTCTAGTTCGTCGCCGATCATAGGAAGATACTGTGGCCATAATATACCTAAAACGATATCGTCACATTCAAATCAATTGTATATAGAATTCAATTCAGATACTACTAAAACAGGTCACGGTTTTAAGATAATTTGGTCTTCCACTGCAACTGGTTGTGGTGGCTCACTTTTGTCACCTTTTGGTTCTGTGATATCTCCATACTACCCCGAACCCTACAGCAGAAATACCGAGTGTTACTGGAAGATTGTTACAAGCGCTGGTTCAAGAATTAGAGCCATGTTTAGCGATATTGACTTGGAATCGCATAGCAGATGTGGTTTGGACTATGTACAGGTAGCTCTAAACTCCTCAAGGTATTTTTTTGCAAATATAAAAGATAAATTTTAGTTGTTTGATGGTTTAAAAATTAACACAAACTCGCTGGGAAAGTTCTGCAAACCTATAGTAACTGGGACTTTTGTTGATTCGACGAAAAATCAAATGTTGGTGAAATTTAGATCCGATGTTAACAATCAGGGAAGAGGATTTCAGTTACAATACTCGACAAGTTCGTATATTTAGATTTATTGTTGGATCCTACGATCAAACTCTAAAATCAACCTTAAATTTGATATTATGCTAATAAGTTAATTTTTTTAGTGTGCACTACAACATTAACAGGGTTCAATGGCGTAATAGAAAGCCCAAATTTCCCGAATAATTATCCTGATCACCAGAATTGTGCTTGGACTATTGAAGTGGCAAATAAAAACAATATAAGCATTACATTCTCACATTTCCAACTGGAAAAAGTTTTAAGGGGCGCAAAAACAAATAGTTGTGGTTATGATTACATAGAAATTAGATACAAAGAACTCACAGACATTTATGATGAAGATACAGCGGAATTTACATCTATAGGAAAGTATTGTGGTGACAATAATCCTGGATTTATTCAAATACCCTCTCATATAGCCCAGATTAAGTTTGTCTCCGACAATGCAATGTCAGCGTCAGGATTTAGGTTGGAATGGAAGTTGGATGGCTGTGGAGGAATTTTAATAGACCCTACAGGCACTATAACCTCCCCGAATTATCCAAATGGGTATCCATCTGGTGTAGTTTGTCAGTGGATAATAGAAACTGATTACGGAAAAAGTGTAGAATTGACCATAGATCATTTGGACATCGAAAAAGATAACCAGTGTGCCTATGACTATGTTAAAGTTTACAGTGGCAGAACTAATACAAGCGCGTTACTAGCTACAGTGTGTCATCAAAATAAAAAAACAGTCGTTACCAGTAGTGAAAACTATATGTATATCTTATTTTTTACGGATTATACAAACGTGCGGGGTGGGTTTAAGGCTAACTATAAGGTTATTGACTCGAGTAAGTTTTTAATGTTAATATTAATAATATTTATTAATTAATTTTTTTTAGAATGTGGGGGTAAAATAGTTGCGCCTCAGGGATCAATATCGTCTCCAAATTATCCAAATAACTACGATAAAAATGAAACATGTGGTTGGTTAATAGAAGTCGATGATCAACATACAATCCAATTGGAGTTTGATGATCTTGATTTAACAGCTTCATGTTCAGAGAACTATGTTAAGGTATGTAAACGCAAAAGTATCTAATTTTAAATAATGCTAACTTTTTCTTGTTACAGATTTACGATGGTCCCTACGAATCCTACCCACTTCTTTATAACGCTTGTGGAAAAATAAAACCGAACAAAACGATAGTATCAACATACAACCAAGTTTATGTTGAGTTTTCAAGTCACTCTACTTTGTTTACGGCCAAAGGATTTCTTCTAAAATTCTTTAAATCGTGCGGTGCTAGAATCGTGACACAATCCAGTGGTAATTTACAAATCAACAGTTTCGAAACCTCGGAACGCATACAACAGAACTGTACTTGGACTATTGTATCCTTAATACCCAGTCAGCATATTTCACTGACTGTGCAACACTCTGCGGAGTACTTCTATAGTGTAGACAACTGTGTTGATGATATGGATTATAAAATGATCATTTATGGGGGCGAAAGCGCTAGTTCCCCATCAATTTTTAAATACTGCACTGGGACTTTACCTCCAACGATATTTAGCGATGGAAATGCTTTAACTATTGTTACGACCACCAGTAACAATTTTTTTGCGACCTATTCCGTTTTTGATAACCGTAAGCAATGAATGCTGATTAAATTACAGCTCTTTGTTATTAATGATTAATTTTTAGAATGCGGTGGTTCACTTTTTTCCTTAAATGGCCAAATCGCATCACCAGGTTACCCCAAATCCTATTACCCCAACATTTCCTGCGAATGGACTATCGAAACTACACCAGGCAATTCAATCGGTTTAACATTTTCGTACTTTGAAATGCCGACTTCTGATAACTGTAACATAGATTATCTCGAGATTAGAAGTTTTAACTCTTCAGGACCCCTTAAAGGTGTTTACTGTGGTAAAAATATACCCCCAAACATTGACAAACACCAGGGTAACTTATGGCTTTCTTATAAAAGCAGTGATATAACTTCTGAGGGGGGTAAAAAATTCAAAGGATTTCTTGGCACTTATTTAATCAACACTGATAATGTTCTTACTGGACCTAGTGGCATTATTAGTAGTCCATTATACCCAAAAAGTGTGTACTCGGCTTGTTCTTACAAGATAACAGTTTCTTCAGGAAAACGGATTTTGATTACATTTAAGGATATATATTTAACCGATTGTTGGCAGCTTGATTCTGAATTTACAGTAGGTCATTGTGTACGTAAGAATTAACTTTTTATAAATAACTAAATTTTTAAGATTTATGACGGTGAAGACATAGAAAGTCCAGTACTGGGTACTTATTGTGGTTTGGTTTCACCACCTCCTGTTAAGTCAACTTCAAATGTAGTTTATATATACTATCCAATGCCGACAACACAAGACACTAGGCTTCTTTTGGAATGGTTAGAAATAGATGGGGAAAAATCAAGACCAACGTCAAGATTCAACTTAAGTATAAGAATTATCCATTTGAATTTTTAGATCATTAATTTATTGTTTTTAGCATCAAATTGCGGTACAGATGGAACTATTGATGTCCATGCATTGTCGTCTGTCCAAATTGCTTCTCCACTGTTATTAAGTTTTTCTCAGTTAAACAAATGCGAATGGCTGTTTTCAACCATAGAAAATAATCACTTAAGATTAACCATTACGGATTCCACATCTAGAATTAACCGTAGAATAGAAGATAGAGATGCTATTCTAAATATTCAACAAATGACCTCTAGATCATGGAGTCAATTGTTCGATGGTAGAATAAAGATCAACCAAGTTATCGACGGCACAAATTTAATGAAAGTTACCTATTCCATGTATAACATCCAGCATTTATTCACCAAGCAGTTTAAATTTAAAGTGGAAGACGGTATGTCTCCTACGTTCTCAAATAAAATATCTAATTGCCAATTTTAGCTTGTGGCGGACAGTTGACTTCACCCTCTGGCTACATTACCTTCGATAATACAACAATTAGGAACACTAGCGTAAGTTTTTTAAGCATTATACTTCCTAAAAAGTCCCATATGCCAACTGAATGATTATTTCAGTGTACTTGGAACATAACGGTAAGAGCTGGCCGTACCATAAAGGTGACCTTCCTAAAATTTAATTTGGGTCGAAAAAGCGACCCTTGCACCAATTATATATTTCTAAGGAACGGCATAAGTATCGGCTCGCCGATTTTGGGCAACGGAAAATATTGCTCCGATTCGAATCCCACTGAATTCAGCACGACGAGTAACAGCTTCAGCGTGGCGTACTCAGGATTAGCGAGCAGTAGTTTTAAGATTAGATACGATGAACATTCGGTGGAGTGCGGAGGCGAATTGAAGTTGAAGGAAAGAGATGATTTTGTTCTAATAAGTTCGCCGAATTATCCCAATATTCCTGTACCGCACAGTGAGTGCGATTGGGTTATAGTGGCTCCTGTTGGCGAAACACTCAGGGTTGATTTTGTCGAACGGTTTGATTTAGAAAGCACGAAAAAGTTAGTCTAGTTCTCATGCTGAGTTCATACACAATTTGATTAATCTTAGTCTTACACTTATTCAGTCAAAAAGTTATGATTAACATTAACTGTAAGACTAAGATTTTGTATGAACCAAATATTAAACAATATTTTTGTAGTTGTGTGTCAGAGTATGTTCAACTAAACGACGGTGGGACATCATTATCGCCTGTAATAGATAGAATTTGCAAAGCCCCTCAACGTTCCTACTTTACTGAAGACTATATGCTACATATTAAATATTTTACTGATATTGAGAGACCCGGAAATGGATTTAAAGCAAACATATCGGTAGACGAATGTGGTGGTACGATTAGGGGTTTCTCTGGTGTTTTAAGTCACAGTGGTGTGACAAATTCGGGCCGGCCAAGAAATTGCACTTGGTATATTAAAGGTCCATCCGATCACTTTCTCTTGTTAACATTTGAAATGGTGGATGTGGGTCCTAGGGTCAGCAATTGTAGTGGTCAAAACAGGGTCAATATATACGTACAAAGTTATGTGACACAAAAATGTAATTCTATTGTGCACCGTTTGTTAACATCTTCAATAACATAACATTTTTAGATATTTGGGTGTATACATTTTGCGGAAATAAAAATGGTATGCCACCATTCCAGGCTACCGACAATATTAAAGTAGATTATATATCAACTAACCTGAAGCCTAACCATAAAGGTTTTAAAATAAGTTTTACTTCTAAAACACCTGGTAAGAAAATTGAATCATGCTGTATTATAATAACTATAATATTTTATAGATTGCGGGGGGTTAATTCAATCCGAAAGCGGTGAAATATTATCTCCAGGTTATCCAGAAAATACCCGCTATCACAAAACATGCCACTGGATTATTAAAGTGCCAAAAGGTAGAAGAGTAAGTCTATTCATCGCGGACTTGAATATCGACGAAGACGAAGCCACTATGGTTGCATACAACGGGGCGAAAAACGATTTTGCATACAAAATAAAAGTTATTTCATCGAATGATCAAAACCATATGATCGAATCCAGTGATAATGTGATGTCGATATTTTTCGATATGCCAGGAAACTCCAATCATAGAGGCTTTCAGGCTAAATTTACTTCTGGAAAACCAACACGTAAGATATTCTCTATATTGCTAAAACATGATTAAACATTTTGTTTCAGTATGTGTTGGCGACTTTAACCAAACCTCAGGCATTCTTAAAACACCGAACGTAACTTTATATAACTGTGAATGGGAACACCGTTCAGCTCCAGAAACAACTTTGGCTTTAACAATCGACGCCATTTCAAATGACACATCATATTGCTTCGAGAAAAATCGCCACTTGCTGTTTAGATTCAACAACGTATTCTTAACTGAATGCAAAACAGTGTCCAAGCGTATAATGCTCACGCCGTATTTGGAGTCCAAGTTGGAAGTAAGAGGGACTCAGTATAGGCCTTTTAACTTCACTGTTGCTTATGATACTCACAAATGTGGAGGGTTAAGATACCCAGGCTTTGATGAACAGCCTTTTATAACAAGTCCGGATTATCCAGCCAAGCCAGGCAAAAGTTTCGAATGCGCTTGGTTAGTTAAAACGCCATCCCAAGCAACGGTTATGTTAGCTATGGTTAATTTTGATCTGGGCTCGAATTGTGATAACCATTATATGATTATATATAATGGTCCATCTCCAAAACATCCTAAAATTGGAAAGTACTGTAAAAATAATAAACCCACGACTTTAGTATCTTCATCGAATGCTCTATGGGTCGAGTATCACTATCAAAGTGGTTCGGAGGGTAATGGGTTCAAATTAACCTATAGCCCAGTCATAAATGGTTGCGGAGGTGTTTTCCACGATACTACAAGAATTATAGCAACACCAGGTTACACAAGCAACAAAAATTACCCGGATGATGCAGAATGTATTTGGGAAATCACTACGCCAAAACCTGGTTACTTCATAAGATTTACATTCTTGGATAGATTCTTTATAGAAGACACCACCGGTTGCACAGACGACTACGTCGAAATTTTTGATTATTCTAACAATATATGGGTTTCGAAAGGGAAAAAATGTGGCAGACAAACACCACAAGATGTAATATCCACTGAAGATAAACTTAAAGTTATATTTAGAAGTGGTAACAATAAAATAACAGGGCAAGGATTTAAGGCAAAATGGAACTTACATTGTGGAGGTGTATTCCAAGCCACAGATGCATTACAAACTATCACAAGCCCAGGATATAATGATCTACACGAAAGAACATTAAATTGCACCTACGAAATCCACAGCCCGGGCAAAATAATCAACTTATCCTTCAAAGATTTTCAACTCGAAAGTTACTGTAGACATGAAAACTTAACAATCCAACGCCTGGGTTACATGCCAAACCAAATAACCTACTGTGGTTCTGATAGCCCCGGAGACATCAGACTAAAGGATAAAATTATCATTTATTTTAAATCAAGCCACACCACTGGTAAAAAAGGTTTTCAATTCACCTTTAAAAATGAAGTCTGCATGGAAGAAATTACCACAGAACAATCAATTAAAGCGCCCGAAATAGTGGAGACAAGTAAATTTAAATATCACATCGGCAGGAGCTTCACCGATATGAGACATTGCCAATGGAAAATCACCGCGCCCAAAAATAAAACTGTAGTTTTAAGGTAAGATATTTTAATGATGAAACTTCATTTGAACATTTTTAGGGTTGATACCATTTGGTAAAAAGCTAATATTACCACAAAAAACTTTTTAGATTAACCTCCTTAAATCTTCCCTGCTATCGACCAATGGGTGTCTATAAATCGTTAACAGCTAACGCAGAAGACAGATTGGCAGCACTATGTGGCAACATGGGCAACAGTCCACCAACTATATCGTCTCCAACCAATCAAATGTTAATCAACTTTTACTACACCTACAATTATTTATACTTTTCGGGTGATATATACTTTACCTATGGTAGGTTATATTTCTATATTGATGAGAACATTTTGTTAAAAATTAATCTTGACATATAGGTCCTTCAATGGGTTGTGGAGGAAATATAGACCTAAAAAGTGGCGAAACAAAAGTTATACAAGCTCCTTCAGTACAAGATACAGTGGACTGTCAATGGGTTATTTCAGTCCCCATGTCCTACGTAGTCAAAATTGAATTTAACGAGGTTAACTTACCGACATGTGAAAAAGCGACGAATGCCACAGATAATTGCACATGCGCTTTTCTTGAAGTAAGTGTTTGGTATAGGTGGCATTTTTTGTTTCAATTAATTATTTGTATTTAGGTGAGAAATGGTGCAGGGTCATTTTCCGATCCAATAGAAAAACTTTGTGGACATTCCAGCAGTGAAAATCTTCAAAGAATAATATGGACAAACCTACAATTTGCTCATATAAGATATTTCTCTAAGAAAAATTCCAATAACGCATTTAAAATAACTGTTACTCCCACATTTAGTAAGCAAATTATTTTTAAAGAAGGGTTCAATGTAACGTTTTAATTTTAGCTGTATGTGGTCAGTTATTACTAAATGCAACGAATCAAACGCAAACGTTAACATCGGCATTTTATCCGAATCCATATCCAAAAAATATCAAATGCATTTGGTCGATACAGGCTCCTAAACTACAAAGGATCACTGTGCGAATCGAAAATTTGGACTTGATCGACGAAAATGGCAAGCACTTAACAAACAACGCATGTAAACAGGATAAGCTCAGCTTTGTAGACGATTTAAGGGTGAAAGAAGATGTTACGCAAGGTCTTGGTCCTGATATGACCTTTTATGGAAGACGCCGATATTCTGTAAGTCACAAGTGCTATATGATTTTTGATGTAAAAACCTTTAGATGGAGTTCTAGTTTGAGACCTGCATCCTGCAGTTTAATTCCAACGGAAAGCCTTTTAAAACAAAGATCTTTGATCAACGATATCGTTTATCGTTTTTATTTTATTTTTAGAGATACAATGCTATTGATGGAAGTTTTGAATTCTGCGGTGTCGATGATAAACCCTATGAGTTCTATTCGCCAACCAACTCCTTATCAGTTGTTTTTGAGTCTGGTAACAATGATAATCATGGAAAAGGTTTTAAATTGTCTTATTCCATTGCCAATTGCAATCGAACTTACGAGAGTGAGCAGGGAAGACTTGTTAACTATTTTTATAATAACTACAACACTTGCATCACACACATTGTGGCTCCTGAAAATACCACAATTTCCTTCTACTTTAAGGAATTTAACTTCGGTGCTAATAATCCAAAATGTGAACAACGTGGAATGGAGGTAAGTCGTGCTATATTTAATCTTAATAATAACGTGTTTCCTTATAATTTTAGATAAGAGATGGAATTTCCGAAACATCTCCATCAATTTTCAAAGCTTGCGGTTATGCAGTACCTCCGCCAGTTTTCTCGACAACAAACAAGTTATGGGTTAAAACATGGGGAAAGGAAAATTCGCGTATGGGCTACGACATAACCTATACTTCGTCCGACAAAGGCCGTGGCTGCGGAGGTCAATTGTACAATGACAAGGGCGTATTTACAAGTCCCATGTATCCAAACATCTACAAGAATAATACGTTGTGTACATGGAATGTCAGGGTACCTTTATCCTTGTATGCCGCAGTAACTTTTAGAGTTTTTCAAATAAATGGAGACTGCACTGAAAACTATCTTAAAGTAATAACATACTCCAAAGATGTACCATCTGAACATTTGATTTGTGGATCGGTTAGTTGGCTTTATGAAAATTTAAAACTATAAACCAGGCAATATTTTTGTGAAGAAAAAGTGGAAATCTTTAAGAGAATTCAAAATTGATCTTGACGATAAAAGAGTAGTAGTAACTCAAAATTTTCGAAAAAGTATTGCCTGGGTTCTGCTTTAAAATTTTGTCGATCAGTGCCTTAATCAACATTTCTTACTGAACATATTTTAGGACCCTCATCCACCAACGTTCTATTCTGATCATCATTTGGATGTAATATACCAGGCGTCAACAACTAATACTGGGACTGGTTGGTTGGCTATATTTAGAGGAGTTTCAGATAGTAAGTTTATATATCACGGATTAATATTAATATAAACTTATTTTAATTTTAGATACCAAAAAGTATTTTTAAAAAAGAACAAGAAATATTTATTTAGTTTAATAAATAATAAAAAGAAACCGTCTTTAATTTTGTACACCCTTTTTTTAAATAAAACGCAAGGTTCCTGTATTGCATAACTACATTTTTCGCTGGAAATTCCTACTAGTAGTTTGAGAAATCGCCGAAAGATGGCGCGTCAATGAACAAACAAATATTCCTAGTCAAGAACTTGATGAGTCAATGTTCTAATTTGTTTGTGTGAGAGAAAATCTTATATAGCGACTTCTTTCAGGTTAAATAGATATTTTTAGTTTTATTTATTCTTTATTTTATGATTTTTTTTTCAATTATACCGCTTATAACATAGATATTAAATATCTCTGTTAAATTGGAAGGGAAATTAAATCCAAGATCCTTTATTAATCAGTTTACAAGGGACAAGCGATTGTTACTCAACATTAACTGTTTGTTGGAGACAATCTACCGTTAACGGGTTAACGGTTTTAATAAGGCGCTTAACAGCCTGCCTTAAAACCGCGTAGGTCAATGCTTTTGCCCATTAGGAAAAGATTAACCAGATCCATCCGATCTTTCCGAACGTTTGCTAGCTACAGATAGACCAATATTACCTACCTGAATGTTACCTTACTTATTTTTAATCCTTCTGATATATTATAAGCCACTTATATACATCCAACAGATTAGAATTTAATGACATTATTAATGTTAAAAACAATCCAGGAACATGAACATAATTTTTTGTTAAAATATTATAAAATAAAAAATATTTTCAAAATGATTGGTAATATTATAAAGTTTAACAATGTTTTAAGGATGTTCTTAGGATATATGTTTAAGAATGTTTAAAGTACCTCAATAATGCTTTTAAAAGGTTTAGAGTGTTCTAAAATTAAAGAGGCTTAAACAAGTTGGTGATATTTTAACAATGTTTTAAAGATGTTTAATTTATAGTATATGTTTAAAAATGTTTAAAGAGTTTTAAGAATGTTCCAAAAACATTTATAGTGTTCTAAAAAGTTATTTATACAATGCTTTAATTAGAATGTTATAAATGTTAAAACCAATCCAGGAACATAAACATATTTTTTTATTAAGAAATTAAAGAGGTTTAAACAAGTTGGTGATATTATTAGAAAGTTTAACGATGTTTTAAAGATGTTTAATTTATAGTATATGCTTAAAAATGTTTAACGTGTTTTAAGAAAGTTCCAAAAACATTTAGCGTGTTCTAAAAAGTTATTTATACAATGCTTTAATTAGAATGTTATAAAGTTTAAAACCAATCCAGGAACATAAAAATATTTTTTATTGAGAAATTAAAGAGGCTTAAACAAGTTGGTGATGTTATTATAAAGTTTAACAATGTTTTAAAGATGTTTAATTTATAGTAAACATTTAGAGTGTTCTAAAAGGTTATTTACACAATGCTTTAATTAGAATGTTATAAATGTTAAAACCAATCCAGGAACACAAAAATATTTTTTATTGAGAAATTTAAGTTTAATAATGTTTTAAAGATGTTTAATTTATAGTATATGTTTAAAAATGTTTAAAGTGTTTTAAGAATGTTGCAAAAACATTTAGAGTGTTCTAAAAAGTTATTTACACAATGCTTTAATTAGAATGTTATAAATGTTAAAACCAATCCAGGAACACAAAAATATTTTTTATTGAGAAATTAAAGTTAAATAATGTTTTAAAGATGTTTAATTTATAGTATATGTTTAAAAATGTTTAAAGTGTTTTAAGAATGTTCCAAAAACATTTTGAATGCTTTAAATGTTACATTGTAGGAATTTGTTTATCCCTGTTATCAAAGTTTTAAAATGCAGACCTTAAATAAGTTTTGTTATTTTAGTGGATGCGAGTATGCGAAAAACACATACGTTTTAAAAAAGTTTTTATTGTGGCATAGATTGAAGGTGGCGTCGAAATGAAAGTTTTCGTGTGCGAAGTAAAAGTTTGTTCCAGTCCATTGAGTTCAGCATCCGGTTTCAGTTCGGGTTCGGGGATCGAAAACGTGATGCCAATTGCTGCTACTTCGACTTCGTCGGACTCAAACGGTCAATTCGACACAAATAGGTCCCTACAACCAAAACCACTTAACCACTTGCCACCCACTCTAGCCCATACACCTACCTAACTACTCCAAGACCTATCACCAAACAAAGTCCCAGCCACTTTTTACTTTTTCACCTTGCTTGCTTTTTTAATAAACATTGCTAGGAAAGTTTCGGCCTAAAGCGCGATTTAATTCCAAAGATCATTGTTCAAATAAAGGGTTTGTTATGATTGTGGGTTTGTAGGAAATTGACGCGACTAAGAAGTAATTGTAAGCAATAAGTGTTTGGTAGACTGAAAGCGGGCTCGAAAGGGGTTTTAACATCTTGCACAGGGTATTTGAAATAAATCCAGCCTGTCGGGCGGACTTTGCGGCCTTAATTGATTTAATTACATTGTGTTAATTAGGGTGGCGTTTGCTGGCAATTCAATGTTACACCCGAAACACTTTGGGGCAACAATTTCAAATTAAAATAACTTTTTAAACACTTTATTGTGTCCTAATGTGTTTTTTCTACTACGTAATATGACCCTTCTAATATCACTTTGTAATGTGGAATGAAGTATTGCAGAATAATCACCAGATGACGGAACAAACACTGGTGGCGACATCTCTGTGTTTATTACAACTTTTAGACCGATCCAACGTCACTTTCTCACAATTAAATTATTTTTGTATTGTATTTTTTGGAAACGTAGAAAAAGTTTAGTCCGAAACACATTTGGAATTGCATATTCCAAACTTGTTATAGACTATTCTATTAATGGATGTTTTTTTAATTAACCTAATTTAGCAAATCTGTTATCGGATTTGAATATATCATAACCGTGGCAACAAACAGTGTACGCAGACACTTCCTACATTCAAATGACATTTGATTTGATCATCAAATGACATTTGATTTCATCACCAATATTAATTATTAGTATTACTAAATGTGATTTCGGATAAAATTTAATATGCACCTCGGCATTAAAGTAATTTTTTATCACTCACGTGGTTATTTGCCTCGGCTTTTGCCTCTGCAAATAATTTCCACATTCGTGATAAAAAATACGACTTTACTGTCTTGATACATATAGTTTAGGATTTACCATTTTTTAACCAACTTTCTTAATAATAGTCAAATTGAGTGAGGTCTGGAAAGCTCGAAGGCCAATTAATACAACCAATACTGGGCCCAGTTTAAATATTGTCCAATTTATTAGAGGAATGCTAGAATAAAAATAATGTTTATAATAATATCCCGACGCATTCGCCATTTTTTGAAGTTTGCATTTTACAAAATATTTTATATTTAGAATCTTGATTAAAATAAAAATATACAAATATCATTATAAGTATATTATTGTATATTGTGTTGATAAGAAAGTAATAAAATATTTATTTTATTGAAAATACCTTTTACTAATAACAAACTTTTAATAATATTGATAAACTAAAAATTAGATAGTTTAGGATTTACCATTTTTTAACCAACCTTCTAAATAATAGTCAAATTGAGTGAGGTCTGGAAAGCTCAAAAGCCAATTAATACAACTAATACTGGGCCCAGTTAAAATATTGTCCAATTTATTAGAGGAATTCTAGAAGAAGAAAATAATTTTTATAATAATATCTCGGTGCATTCGCCATTTTTTAAAGTTTGTATTTAAAAATAACTATTAAATCGATTAAACATTTATTATTTTCTTAATTTTTTTGTACATTCTTAAAACATCATTAACTTAAAAGATTCTAAAGTTTAACATTTTAAATAACATTAATAAACTTACTATTCAAACCAAGAATGTTTACAAGATGTGGATGAAATAATTTAATGCTCTAGACATGATATGGTTCCTATGAAGCTAAACCAAGACCCTTTTAGTTAATTAAGCTATCGGCCATCTCCTTGTACAAACTATTATATTTGTTTAAACTATCAGACGGGTAGTGTTTTGTGGGCGTACGTCCAACTCCATTTGTTTTCAGTGCTGAATTGTCTCTGGGACGTGTAACAAGCTAAAGGCGGTCATTCCGTCTTTTTCTATTCTTGTCCGAAATACCCCCAAATCTTAATTTACCTAATAGAAAAACGGATTTATATGGGAGAAGGGAGAAGATTAATTAATTTGAATGCTGTCTTGCTTAGCATTTAGGTAGTATCGCCACAATTTAAATTAAGAATTTTAGGATATTAAAATAGTTAGCTAAGAAGTTTTATAATTTCCCGTAATTTTCAACAGTACGCTATTAATAATTGAGTTTGTACTTTTTATAAAGAAAAGCAGAGCAAAAATGAGTTTATAATTTTGAATTAATAAGAAGTACAGGGCCGGATTAAAACCTTAATACCCCAAACAAATATTACAACATACATAAACACATAAAACTTTATACAACATAAAAAACGCATTATCAATGTTACATAATTTAGGTACAGTATTGTTTTTTTGTTGTTGAGTCCATGCCTGTTAAAAAAGGTCGTCTTTTTCAATTAGAAAGTTATAAATGAGGTAATATCCTTTCGCATTTTGGTTGCATGTTTTAATCTCCCGGCAATAATTAAATACAACGTTCATTTTGTCTTTTCGCAGCTTTTCTCATTTTTGCCGCTTAAAGGGTTAAAGGAAAGAGGGGCAAAACACCCGCTAATCAACTTTAATTCTTAACGAAACTGGATTTGTACACCTTAACCAATCTATATTTTTATCAAGTGTGATGAATTCATTTTCGTCAGAGCACTTTGTTATAGAGAAACTATATAAATAAATAATTAAACAAGACATTCTGTCCTAGATAAAATATATTTGAAACTTGGAATCTCTCTATTCGCAATGAATTTATCTGTAGTCTGCAGTGGGATTGGGAAAGAGAGAGGGTCTAAATTAATAAGGTTAAAAAAGCAAAGAAGCAGACAAAAGCGTATGGATTTGCCGGGAAGTTGTGAATCGGAAGATAAAACGTTTTGTCAGGTCGCAGATGAATTGCAATCACCTATTGTA